TGATTATATAGTGAAAATGCATTAAATCTTTGAAAATCTTCTTCTCTGTTCCTGGGCATGAAATAAACTAACTAAGTACATAGTTATGATGAGCAAGAGTGCCTCTACCGATATTGTGAATTTCAAGGCCCCTGGGTCAGGGTTTCTGGTGTTAGGGCGGGGCTCTATTGATTATATAGTGAAAATGCATTAAATCTTTGAAATCTTTTTCTCTGCTCCTGGGTATGAAATAAACTAACCAAGTACATAATTATGATGAGCATAGCTGCCTCTTCCAAAATTGTGAATTTCATGGCCCCTGGGTCAGGGGTTCTGGTGTTGGGGGGGCTCTATTGATTATATAGTGAAAATGCATTAAATCTTTGAAAATCTTCTCTGCTCCTGGGTATGAAATAAACTTACTAAGTACATAGTTATAATGAGCATAGCTGCCTCTTCCAAAATTGTGAATTTCATGGCCCCTGGGTCAGGGTTTCTGGTGTTAGGGCTGGGCTCTATTGATTATATAGTGAAAGTACATTTAATCTTTGAAAATCTTCTTCTCTGCTCCTGGGTATGAAATATACTAACTAAGTACATAGTTATGATGAGCATGGCTGCCTCTTCCAAAATTGTGAATTTCATGGCCCCTGGGTCAGGGGTTCTGGTGAAAGGGGAGGGGGCTCTATTGATTATATAGTGAAAATTCATAATTTCTTTCAAAATATTTTTTTCTACTCCTGGTTATAAAGCAAAGAAACAAGTGTATAGTTATGATGAGCAAAGATGCTTTTACAAAATTTTTAAAACTTGTGGTCCCAGGGGTTCTGTTGTTTCTCAGAAAGGGGGGGGGCCTATTTGATTATATAGTGAAAGTGTGTGAATTCTTTGAAAATCTTCAACTAATTGCATAGTTATGATGATGAGGGTACCTCTTCCAAATTTGTAAATTTTCATGACCCTAGGTCATGGGTTCTGGTGTTAGGGTAGGGCTGTGTTAAATAGTGAAAATACATTATTTCTTTGAAAATCTCCTCTGCTCCTGGGCATATTGGAAGCAAACAGAGTAATAGTTTTAATATTTTTACCAGAATTTTAAACATCTTGACCATTTAGTCAAGTGTTCTGGTAATGGCCAGGGCTCTGTTAATTTGTATTCTACTGAGTGAAGTTATTCCCCTTTGCCATTCACCTTTGATAATTAATCACTGTAGATAATGTATTTGAAAGGTTAATAAAATAAGAGAATTATGCAATAACATTTATTGTATAATACAAAAAGTACTTTCATAGTTTTAATAATCAGGTAGACTTGGAAATAATAGATGAATAAAAATGAAACATAAATAACTTATCTTTTTAAATGTTCTTCAAAGGCCAAGTGAGGCCAATGTGAGAGTTAATAATATAGACATTTTGTTAAAAGTCTGCATGGTAATAGAGATAAATGGGGGACAGATAGAAAGATACTAGAACAGTTATTTTGCTGATCTTCATCATACTGTTTTCCTTGCTATTGGGCAGCAAAGCTTCATTTATCAGTTTATGGATCCTCTAAGTTGTTGTACTCAGGTGACCGTTAAGGCCCTTGGGCCTCTTGTTAAAAAAAAGGATTTCTTTACAAATAATTACTTCATAAAAATAATTGGCAGCTACATTGCCAAGTAATGTTTGATGATGCATGCATTTGGACATGCATCAATATTTGACAGACAGGCATTGTAATATTATATACCATATGACAAATATTGATAAATGCAATGTATTAATTTTTTGTGATGTTCATTTCTTAAGGGTTTTTTCCTCTCTTGTAGCCAAATTGTTATGCAAAGATCATCACAGTGGAATCGCAAAAGAAAATTGTGATATACTCAAAGAGAGACATTGACGTCAACGAAGAAATAACATACGATTACAAGTTCCCTATAGAAGACGAAAAGATTCCATGTTTGTGTGGGGCTCCTAATTGTCGTGGCACTCTTAATTAACTCAAATATGCAGAACACATCGATAATTGGTTGTTTTGGTAGTTTGAATGAGCACCTTGGTCTGATATGAATGTTGAATAACCTAAAATCTTCTTTGGTTGAAGTAGCGAGATATACAGAGGGGGAAATTGTGTCCAGATTTTACCTAATATGAAGAATACTTATTTTATTTTATGACAAGTAAAGATGATATTTGAAATGTAGATGGTAAAAAGAGAGGAAACAGCTATACATGAGAAGAAAATTGTCACTATAGGCAAGTGTTTGTTGTATACAGAGAGATGGGAGTCTATATCACTCCATTTTTTTGGTCATGTGAGTAATTCTATTCACATGATCTCACTTCAGTATTCTGTTGTATGTTGTCATAGTGATAGCTTACTTGATTTATCAAAAATCAGTCTTGAGAAAAAATGGTAACCTTTTGTAATCATTTGAAGGATATTAAGGCTAGTTTCATGGCCAATTGTAAAATGTTGATTGTAATGTGTGGTTCTGTGAGAATGGAGTTGGATGTTGAAAGTAGGTGCTCTTATTGATTAGGGACATAATATTAAAATCTAGAAATCCTCATCCACATTGAAGAGTGCATTACCAGTACTTGAATGTTCCTTCTCAGTACAGGGAGTCTTGTTCCATAATGTGTAATTCAAAGAAGTGTGAAAAACAACTTACTTATTGAAATCAAAGTGATTTTAATGTACATATAGTGCTATTAAATGCATGTTGTTAAGAGTATTTAATTTCAAGTCTTAAAGACAAGCTGGGATGATATCATTTTATATGTGTGTTTGCCTTGTGCAAGGGGAGGTAATTGTGTGAGAGATGAATTATTGCTTTGCAAGAGAGGAGAATGAAATGTACTTATTATATATTGTGTGCACTTGACTTGGGCAGCTACTTTTGTTTCTTATGCCATTTTAGTAAAACATCTATTGAATGTAAGAATTAATTGAATGTCACTGCCAAATTACATCATCTGTTAAAGAAGTGAATAAATTTTGAGCAAGCAAAACATTGGGAAAATTGTACATTGAAAGGCTTTGCATGTATTTCATAAAATTTGTTTTGTTTTGTTAATGTTCGAAATTGTTGCAGTTTTGAAAATTTATTTCTGAGAGCATTTACCCTGCTATTGGTTTTAAGAAATATTTAATATGTTTTTAAAAATGAAAGAAACAAAGCTTAGTATTTATTTATTGTAATTGGGATTATGCTTGAAGTTGTTAACTAGAAATTTTATACATTGACTAGATAGCAATTTTGAATTCAACATGTTAAAAGATTTATTACAAATTTGCATTTTTACCATGATTAAATAACTTTCTTTTTGACATATCATACATTCAGTATAAATCCATCAGTTTAGTTATGCAATAAATTATACATACATGTATCTACATGTACATGTATATATGGTAAATGGTATCTACTATTAATTAATGTACACATTTAAGCAATTTAGGGGAGGAAAAAAAATGAAAACTCAAATTTCTGCATTGCATTTGCATATTCATGAATATTCAATAGAGTTCACCATCTTTTCGTATGTAAATATAGTATTGGTTACTTGTGTGAGAAGTACCCTTAGTTACAATTATATAGTGCTTTTATACTTGTACAGTTGGTTGAAGTCTGTTATTCTTTGAAAATGTTCTGTACAGTTTTGTATGTCATCCATGTACAAATGAATTGAATACTATTTTAATAAATGTTAAATGAAATTTTTCATTTTGTGAATCATTGAGTATAGAAGTACAAGCTTTATGTTAAATTAAAGCATAAATTCTGGAATACATTGATGAGCTGCTGCCTATGTATTATACAGTTGAACCCGGATATCTGAAACATAACGATATTTGACATATTTTATGAGATGACCAAAAGTCACTATACTCTCTATTTACCACCAGATGGAAAGGGCTGAGAGAATTCAAAATTAATAACCTGCTGTTTGAAATTTAAGGGATTGGTGGAGGTGAATGAAAGTTTGTTTTAAAGTAATATTGCAATGTAGACAGTAAAGGAAAGACTTAGTACATGTACTGTCAATGCCAATCATGTCTTCCTCAAAATATTGTTTGTCATTTGAAATGCTTTCTTGACAAGTGCACTAATCATAAAATCTTGACAAAGAAATAATGGTTTACCACAGTTCACTTTTATATATAACTTGCCTCAGGAGTCTGAAAACGTTTTTTCTTGATTGATATGCTTAAGTTTAACAGAAATTGGAAGAGGTCAAATATTGGTAAAGGTCAAGTAGTTCACATTTAGAATGAAAAGGGAGAATATGAACAGTGATCAATTTCATAAACTGTAAGCATTTAAAAAATGTGAACACAGCTTCAGATGTGATTAATTGTGGGAATTTGATGTTTGATACTGATAATTGTAAGATCAGATCTAATTTTTACTTCTATGCTTCCTATATGTTTGAAATCATTTTGGTGCAGTGACCAGGATCAAAATGTCAAGATGACTCTTAAAAAAAAACGTTGACGTTCTTCAACATTAGTGATTATTGTCTAAATTGATTGAAATTTGTCAGAGTCTCAAATTGTGTCACAACAATGATTTATTTGATGCCCATGGTAATGGTGACTAAGCATCAAAATTCTGAAAGTTTACCGTGTTCATCAGCATTATGCATGTTTGGAGATCACTGTAACAGTAAAATCTGTTGATGTTAGTTGATTTTCAAGTGATTCAATGTAATAAATATCGATATAATCTTCCAGTGCAATGGCAGATTTAAGGTCATAAGCAGCTTATAACTCTTCTGTGAAATCCCTATTTTATGACATCACTGGGCTTCCATACAAATGCAAATATAGGTCAAGAAGTGTTGATGTTTACATTGAACTTGAATCTAAAGGACAACTCTAATGTAGAACACCCCTTTCGTCTGCTAACAAATGAATAATAATTAAGTATGCTTTATGACTGACAAAGACCAGGGACAAAAGTTTTCTAATTACACGATTTAAACGATGAAACATAAAGGGATTTGTTTTAGTCGGAGTAGCGTAAATCTCGCGAGATGTCATTATCGTCGCGTGATGTAAGATGGACGACAGATTCAGGAACTTCGCAAAAATTTATAAATAATGATGCATAGTTATGATACGTGTTATGTATAGAATTAACTTATAAATCAAAATGGGAGGCAAGGAATCTAAGCTTCAGTACTTTCCTTTCGAGGAGGCATGCAGACGGAGTAAGTAAACATGAACCATAATATTATTATGTCACATAGCATTTTCTCCATGAACCTATCCTCAATATTTCGAAATGTTCGTCTACATGGTCTATTCTTTTTGAAATCGATTTTGTACAATGTAGAATAAAATATGATTTAGAGATATGGATGTTGAATTAAGTAGTAAATCATAATATAAACGTTTTCAGAATTATTATGAGAATTCAATATGACAGAATAAGCTCTCTCATTTATATACATCTTATGTGTATTCAAAATTTTGAATACCGTAAGTAAACATACACATGGTTCATTCAACAACACAGTATAAAAGTTGTGAATTAATTGTGAAAAGAAGTCATGGTGTAGAGATTGTTTTTCATCAAATATTGTGGAAACAATTTTTCTCCTGTTGTTAGACGTCTTATAATGAAGGCTGTACAGGTGTAAATTACATCTTTACTAAAATACAGTCAAACCTCATTATTGCAAAGTCAATGGGACTGAGAAAAAATGTCAAGATAACTAAGGAATAGAGATATTGAGGTTAAAATATATAAAAAGTGGTATTTGAAGTGTTTTGATATTCATGATATTGAAGTTCAACTGTACAGCTGTAGATTATTTTGCAGAGAACTCCTGCATGTGCGGATAAGGAGAGGAGCCAAAATTAAATTAAAAGTGAGATGGGATAGAAGAAAAAATAATCTGATTAAAAAAAAAAAACAAAGATACACATGTAGGTTAATATTTAATAGTTAATTCATGTGCTCATTTTTTCTGCTGCATATGAGTAAAATCTTGTCAGAAAACCAATGTCTTATCAGTTTTCATAGAAATTTATTATTCTTCACATTTGGTATTTTTTTTCAATGAGGTAGAGTTGGGAGGGGGTTCTATGTGTCCCATAAATCCTCTATTAGTCCAATCCACATTTGCAAAAGTTGTGTCCCTTTGCAGGGTCAACCAAAAGGTCAAAAGGGAAAGAAACAACAATTCTCCTCTTTATGCTACCAAACATTTTGGGTGTGCTCCAATAAATCCAGTGTGTTTAATTTTTTCTTTCAATGTTTTGGGTAGCCCCATCTTGAGGCAATCACTATACAAGAAGCAAAGATTTTTTCCAGTCAAATGACAAAGTTAACAAACCAACTACAAAGGCTACTGTAAGGATTCCATGGGTTTTTTTCCCCAAAGATGGTGGCCAAGGGACATACACTTTTAAAAGTGTGGATTCAACTGTTGAAAATTATATGACACCAATTGAAATATGACACCAACCATTCCCAAGGAGCCTAAATCTGTGTTAAATGCTGAAACAAACAGAAAACGGAATATCATGACATCTTGTGTAAGCAGCACCTGAGAGGTACAGGTGTGACTGAATCACATCATCAGTTGTCTTTAAAATCAATAAGCTTACTTCATTTACCTGTATTTACAGTGATACTCTAGCAGTATGTGTAAACACTGAGACAATCGACAATGAAACTTTAACATGTTAAAAAATACACTTGTAAATACATGCATACAGTACATGCTGAAAGCATAATTTTTTACTAAAAGAAGACAAGTATAATTAACTTTATCAAATGTACCAATTATAATAATTTTTTTTATTTGGTATGGTGCATTTTTGATCTTCCTTAAGAATCTTTTTTCTAACTGTTTGGTCCTAGTCATTGAATGCAAGGAGGAAAGAGAGAGGAGAAAAGCATAAACCTATAGTTTTCCAGCATGAGTTTTTTATTCTTCCATGCACAGATTGACAGTGGTTAATCTTTTCTGTGCTTATTCATATAATGGCTTGTGCCTTTCAAATATAATATTTTTGGTATATGACTGCACAAAAAGTAACATTAGCAATTTCAGCATAAAATGTTTTGAAATATCAATTTCAGTTGGAATTTATTTTTCCTATTAGGAAGTTCCTCATATTTCTACTGGTATCCCACATTATCATGATTATAGAATATTACTACAGATGTTAAATAAATGGTAATCAAGTTCATTGAAAAAAAAAACATGTAAAATAAGATTGATAGACTTTATTATGTATTAATATTCCCCAAGGATAAATCTACTTCAAAAAATGTTGATTGGTTGTCTCATTTGTGTAATTCGTACAAAGAATGGCATTATTTAGCCATGTAATGGTTATGTATTTGTTTAATTAGTGTAGGGAAATTTACCAATAATTACAGATAATTGTGGCTTTACACAGTGGAGGAAAATCAATAATGTACTCAGGGCTCCATCAGTAATGGGGAAGTTATCTTAGTCTTACCAGATAATTGCGGATCTCTGTCCCTTTTTTTATAATTATTTTTTTTATTCTTTATTATTTCAAGCAACCATTTATTTGCTCGATTTCAGCAGAGGGAGAACTGCTTTTGTTTTTTAATTGAATGAAAAGTTCATAAGGCTATGAACTTATATATTCTCACACTATTCAGGAATATTTCATAAAATGTTCATGAGATGTTTTAAAATGTTATGTGTGATTTTATTTCTAATTAAACAAAAATAGTTATTTAAATGCCTTTTATTCACTGTCTTTACATGGGGGGTGGGATATGGGGTTGTGGGTTCATCGATTGTGATGTCACAGTTACCGGGATGTTATACATGTAGTAAACAAACAATTTTAAAATACACATTTCTTGTTATTGTTTGTTACTCATGGAATGGAGCAGAAAAGTATTTTTTTCAGTAAGAATCATATAATTATGAGTTTTATGATACCCTTATACTTTAAACCATTTGTTTTCTGCCCCATCTTCTCAAGGGAGACACATTATAGACTGATAGTAAAACTTGGTACCAGAATCTTTAAAATACCGGTAACTGTAAAGTTGAATGGGAAAGCTGTTTCAGTGTTAAGTCATAGTGGTTAAAGCTAAAGATCTCTGGTAAGAACAAAAATAATTAATCTACAATATCCCAACGAAAGATTTTTAACCACAAGGCTTCATAGATAGATTTGGGGGGAGGGAGAGTAGGGGGGAATGACGACATATATTGTTACAGTTTTTTATGATGAGAGTAAGGGAAAATGTGGCAAGCTTTCTTCTTTTATAAATTAGGAAATTTTACAATTTTTTGTTTTTATTATGATATTGAATTTAATAAGATCTCATATCATACATTTTTTTTTGCTTTGTTTGTTTGCTTTATTGTCAAAAAACATTGTTTTTGTTAACTTTGTAAATTCTATAGATGACACAGCATCAAATTCCTGGAGGCTAATGGGATTCCAATAGGCAAGCAAAAGAAGAATATTTATCAAAACTGTTTTCATATCATTAACATTGCATTTAAATGTTCTCCTTTTTTACCAACAGTGAAGGAGACAGAACTTAAACGATCCAAAGATGCCTTCAAAAGGGTGGCCACTCTTGGGGGTCAAATGTCGGACATCGTTTTCTGTCGAGAAGTCTTAGGGGAAGGAGTCCCTCCAGGGATTGCTAATGTAAGTTCTATTTGTTATCCTCTATCTTAGACAAACTATGTCAAATATGCCAAAATATGAAATTTTAAAGGACAAATTAAGAAAAAGATGTCTTACAAGGAAATTTTGGAAGAAACTACAAAAGCCTAGCTGAGTCAATTTCTTGGAATCTGTTTACTGGTATTCTGATTTCTGTGATGATCGTTACATGTTTTTTTCACAAAATCCATTTCTTTCTCCGTTGTCTTACCTGTTTTCTTTTCAAGTAATAATTAGCTATACTTTAAGGAGGCTCAAAACACCCACAGTTTATTTTAGATTTCATTACAGCACCACTTTTTATGAAGATTTCAAATATCCAAATGGAGATTATGATATGATAAATATTTTTTAAAGATTTTTTGAATCTTTCTTGATTTTGGTAAAATGTTTTATTTCAAGTTTCTGATTAATAGTATTGCAGAAATCTCAGTGTTAAGTGATGGATATCATCTACAGATATGTAAGAAATAAATCAACACTTCATAATATTCAATATTATTTTTATTAGAAAAAATAATTTTCTCCCAAAAAAGAATTAATGTGATTATCTTCTTAATCTTTGCATGAATAATTGGAAAATCAGTTATAAATAGACAAGAAATGTATATTAATGAATAACAAGAGACAAATTGAATGAAAACTGTTTTAAGGAAATGAAAATTCCAATTTATAAAATAATTGGAATAAAAAGTCCACTTGCAAGAGTTATCTTTCCTAAATCTCCCTGACTCAAAACACTCAGGAACGGTCGAACATATCAGATTCAGAATAAGCTAAAATTTCTAGAATAAATATACATTTTTCAAAGAAATAAAGACAAGCACACAAACCAACAACAGTACAGTTCTCTAAAAGCACAAGTCAATTATAATTTATTTCAACGAGGTTGCAGATTTCAACTAGAATTTCCTCTATAATTAGGCTACATGTTGTCAGTGGTAGAACTTGCTGCTTTCGCTATGACATTGTACACTACTTGGGTAGCGAAGATTTGACTGTCATTCTCTTTGGTCTCCACTTAAAAGTAACCCTTCTTCGTTGTGATTTAGTTATGAATCCGTTACCAAGTTCCCATTGTTTACAACATCGGATTACATCGCATGTAGTCTATTTTTAGAGCGTTTTAAAGATTTAGATCATCAACAAAGCGAACCTGTACAATTCGTCCCCAGGAGAAAACGGACGAAACAATGGAGGTTTATTTTTCTGTGTAGTACGTCATCAAAAAGTGGTGTAATGAGCCTCCTTAAGTTAATTTTATTGCAGTATGGATTATTACAATTTTTATCCTTTTGTGCAAATAGTAAAATTGATATTTCTGTGAAAATAAAGCTATATATGCTGAAACCTAATCTTATTATTTATACATTGATTGAGCATATTTTAATTTCTTCCCTTTACTATATTATTTGATTTTAAAATCTGATTTCCTTTATGAAAAGTATTTCCTTAAATGAAGGGATTATCACTCAATCTGACTATAAAGCCAGATCTCTATTTACGCTATCACAATACCCGGTAGATAGAGCTAAAATAGAGCATAAATAGAGGTCTGGCTTTAGTCAGATTGGATGATCACTGAGCTACAGTCAAAGACATGTGCATTTTCCCCCATTTTTTCCCCATGTGTTCTAGCTTCTGTACAGAGGATTTGGAGGCACCTCTAAAGGGCTTTCTCTGAAGGACTTATTGTGTGGGCTCGTTATTCTCACCAAAGGCTCTGTGGAGGAGAAAATAAAATGTGAGCTTTAGAAAAAACATTCAATACACATTATATAAAACCAAAAAAGAAAAGGAGAAAAACAAAACATCCAAATCAAACAATGCAAACATCACAGTTATTCATAACATGTCTTTCAAATGCTGAATGACTTCACTTTGTCAAAATATCAAAGAAAAGTGAATCACCATGATTTATTTTCAGAAGTTTAACATAAATGTTTTTTTTTAAATTTTTGTGTAGTCCTGTTTGGGATGTATGCTGATGACAGTTACTCCTTCGTACAGAAGGAGGAAATGGACCGATTGGTTCTGGAGTCTGAGGGACAGGTCTCCAGTGCTCTGTCTGACCTCTTTATGGAGGTATAAACCCTGATTCCAAAATTTGTCATAGAAAGAAAAACTAATTTTGATTACCCACTGTATAAAATGTTTTATATGAATATTGGTACTGCAATTAAATTCCATATTTGTATGAAAATTTATTATATCCCTCTATACATGTATATTGGCATATATGCAGTGCCTTTTAAAAATTGAAAATATGTAATGCCAATTTAAGAATTCAAAATGTTTTTCATTGCTTCAAAAAACAGAATGATCAGGTGACCTTTGATTATTTTCGACTGTGGGTGAAAGCTCACCCCGATGCCACAGAAATGACAAAATGGCTGTTGATGGAACCCATGACGGTCAGTCTCTCGGACGACACAGACACACCCACTTTCTATCAAACTCTGGCTGGGGTCACACACTGTAAGTGCTGGTAGTCTCATTCATATCAGCTTCCATTTGAGTCAAATTACAGCATGTAAATATTCTGTGAGGGAACTTAAAAAAAATTGAAACCCCAAAAAGGATGCTCCAGTTTACAAATACGGGTATTATGTGGTTTGTTTTTCAGTGGAAGAGACGGATATTAGTGAACTAGAGAAAAGATACTGGGCTCTGAAGTCGCAATCCAAAAGTGGAAAATTTGACCTTGACACATTCAAGGCCATGGTTTGTCCACCAGTGCCAGAGGCTGTTTGTGAAAGTGAGTACATTAATATGCACTCCTCTATTATAATCATTTGTCCACAATATATATCTTAATTAAATATGTTTGAGTTTATAACTGGATGGTAAAGTTAGATCTCCCTTTATATGAATGGAATAAAGGAGAAACATAGAGTTTGATGATTCAAGTTTTGTGAGCTAGCTTCCTTGATCTGCAAGACGAGGGAGAAAAATCAATGTTCTAATTAATATCTAATAGACTTTTGCAGATTTTAATGGCAGACTTCCTTTATAGGCAAAATAGACAGAAAAAAAATTGTCAAATTCATATTTGATTGACTTATTTTAGATTCTAATTAATTTTTTTAGTAGGATTGTATTGACACATATTAAAACGTCAGAAAACCTTGTGTCTTCTTTAAATGAATTATGCATATCACACAGGATCAAGGAAATATAGTATAGATTCATGTGATGCAATTTGTGTTCATTTTATGTGATGAAATTTGCATGTCAGTTTACAATTTGCTTGTAGGCCTTTTCCACGCATTTGATGAAAACAGAGATAATCACATAGATTTTAAAGAGATGGCTTGCGGAATTTCAGCTTGCTGTAGAGGACCAGGAACTGAAAGACAAAAATGTGGGCAGCTCAGATTTTTTTTAGCTAAAATAAAAACCTTTACTTTTAAGAAAAGTTTATTTTATGTTTTTAATGGAAATAAATATGCAATATGTGTAAAGCACGTTTACAACAGAAATAGAAATACGAGCTATATTTAATATATTTCTCTCCCATGAATTGATGTTATGTTATAAATATTAAGTGCATGTATATTTATTATAAACATTACATGAAAATGGAAAATATCTAATTAACTTTTTTTCTTTGATTTAGTTTGCTTTAAAGTGTTTGATATGAACCATGATGGCAAGCTGTGTGAGAGGGAACTAGTACAGATGGTCAAGGCTTTACTGAGAATACGAGAGGAGAACCAACCAACAAACACAATGGTAACCATAGCAACCTTTCTAAACAATTATATGTCCAAAAATTAAAAGAAATGAAAGAGATTTGGAATTATATTGATAGAAGTCTACATACATGTACATGTTTATATTTATGTAAAATGTTTATCTCAAACACATGTTCATGTAGATGATGGAAAATTCAAAATCAGTTAAAAGTGTTTTCTTGCTTGAAGGCCAGACATATGTAGATTTCAAGTTAAACATATATGTATGTAAACTTACATATGATGATGAGAGGAAATGGATCTCGTAAAGTTAACATTTTGAGTCATTTTCACTGTTTGAATTATTTAATAGGAGTGTGATCCTTTCTATAACATGGACCCAGAACTTGTAGCAAAAGAGATTCTAGCGAGTCATGATGGAGACAAGGTAAACAATTCACAGCTTTTATTCCAGGGACATTTTGTTTGAAGCCATATCTTTGATATATTGACAAATGCTTGGAAAAGTGCTGTACTTAAACTTTAATTAAAATTTGTTACATGAACACCATTATTGATCAGATGAAAGTCATAAAGTTGTAATCATGCAATAAAGAAAAATCATTGGAACTGGCAATATTTCATCTGGAATGGAAAAAATAGATCCTCTATTTGGAACTTTTTTATGCGGTGAAAACAAATATAAATGCGTAATAGAAGATCAATAAAGCTAAAATGGAAAAATATTTGAAAAATTTATGAGATTGTGAAGTATTCTTTGATTTGGGTATGATAAATGCAGATATTGCAGTAAATTTTCTTTTTGTATTTCAGAATGTGATGCTTGTCTATCATAAATACACATATGAAATGAAAGTATTATAATGATGTCATAAATGTGTGTATTGATGTAATTTTTTTTCCACCAAGTTTTGTTTTAAGGTCAGAGGACACGTTCCTCAATAATATGTAATTTTTTCCAAGAATTTGTCATTAAGGTATAGCTACTTTAATAAGTTTCCTCGCAAAAAAATTAAGGTACCTTACCAGGCTTTTGTGCAAGATACCAGAGGATGATATTTGCTGTATAATCCTATTAGAAATCATTACCATTGCCAATATTACAATTTTTTGGTGTCTTTATCTACATAGACATTTTGAAAACAGTTTAATTATCACAAAATAATGATAATTATGATTTATTTGTGATATATTACGAAGAGATATAAAACAGATATTCGAGCAACGTTTCGTCAGGCCTTAACTGAATTAATTTGCTTTTCCTTGAAGGATGGCTGTTACTTCAGTTGTTACCTTTAGATTTTATGTAATGTACAAAAATGTATTTTTTTTAATAACAGGATGGGTGTCTAACTCAGGCAGAATATTTAGTGTGGACAGTCAACAACACGCTGGCAGATAATTTCCTAGATTTACTCAGTCAGGTTGTTCACTTTTCCTGATCATTTTATTTCAAATTAATGTAACCTTTTGGGCAGTGTTTGATCTAGAAAAGTAAAACATATGCAAGAGAATAAAAGAAATACTAATGTAAATTTGATTATTCTAGAGTAAAGTACATGTAGTAATATGCAGTATTATTTTTTTAAGATATGCCATTTGGTTATGGGCCTTAAACCTCAAACAAAAGAAGAGGAAGGGGAGATAATCAAGTAAGATATTACACAAACTTAACTGGTTCAAATATTCATTCTTAGTCTTTCACATGTTAAAAAGTTGTGTTGCTATTACTGAATATGATTTATGTTGTCTTTGTTAAATTACTTGGGCCATTGGCACCAGTGAGCTAATCTGATCAAATTTCTGGTCTGCTGTGTAACTCAACTTGTTGCATGTTGACTGTAAACTTTTTAAAAATCTTCTCAAGAAACACTCAAGAAAAGATGAAACCAATGTACCCTCATAAATACTTCCTTTAGGAGATGGTTTAAACTTTATTCAATCGTTGGCCCTTAAAAAAGAAAGGGGTTGGAAATGAGGATAACAAATATGCATGAAGATCTTAAAAATATTTTTCATTCAAGAACAGCAGTTCCAAAATTAGTCAAATTGATATGCAAAATGTAGATGCAAGTGTGTTCAAATCATAGCCCACAGGGGCTACACATGCATACCTGTCAACTCTCCCGAATTTTTCGGGAGTCTACCGATTTTTAACCATCCCTACCGATCGTCTACCGAATTTTTTTTTAACTGCCTTTTCTACCGATTTTGAAAAAATCCGGATTTTTTACCTACTTGGGTTCGTAAAATACCGACATGTCAACAAAAAAATGGAGGTCATCATGACCGTCATGGAGTGTTTATCGGTAGATAATCTGTTTATTGCCACTGATAACAGGTAATCAACAAGGTGTCAACTGTGCTACCAGATGTAATTGCAGTTGCAATTGCTCCTTATTCTCATTAAAAGTGTATATTATCAAAGACAGATATGCCAGATGTAAAAATTTTGCAAAAAATGACGGTAAATAACGATATGGATGTACTTGATACTTTGCTGCAAATAAGTTTACAAGTACCCAAGACAAAACAATTCCTCCATAAACAATACAGTGATCAGGAAAGATATAACTACAGTACTCTATTATTAATTTAACGAGGAGAGGGGAACAATTTCATGGAAGCTAATAATGAAGAGTCTGAAGAGTTCCCCACAGAGATTCAATGTCTTAGTAAATCCTGCATCAACATCAGCATATAAAAGCCTCTGAAACTACAGAGCAGCATGACAGTGCCTTTAGAAGACTTCTTTGAATTTACATAGCTAAACAGGGTAATAAATTTTTAAATTAAAATATAGAATTAGCATCATAGAACATTACTACAATAAAGCATTAGATTTAAAAATTCTGATATATGTTATGAGATTATAAGAAAAAACACAGGGTCTGAGAATCCATGTATTCCATTCATACTAGATTACACATTATTTTAAAGAATATAAGCATTAAGTTTTGACAATTATTTCAATTTCAGATCTTTAAATCCAGGACACAACTCTTGCTCCTTAGACTTAGTGAGAAAAATCCATTCATCCATCTATTAAAAGCTGGAAGCTCAGACTGTCTGCAGAACCTTATTAATTTTTCTGATTGCCAAGTTAAACTTTGACATTTGCCATGAGTATTATTCAAATGACACTCTTATGTACAGGCAGAATATACATTGAAGAACATGTATTTTTATAATTTCAAAAATCACATTGTACAAGTTTCTAAACAATGTATGAATAAAAAGTAAATTTTATGAATAAACATGATAAATGATAATAATATTAATAAAAAAGTTTTATCTTGCAAGTTGTTTATTTTTGTTTTATAATACAGTGAAATGCGTGAATTTTTGTGTTTGCAAAGGTCGTCACGCGTTTTCTCCCCCAAAAAGTTTTGGCCATGTTGACAGGTATGCACATGAGTTCAGAATTTCATACTGGAATAATATATATGCTGGAAAAGTTTTCATAAAGTTTACTTTAAGAACTTAAAATTTAGCACAGCTGCTTCTTCAACTAATAAATGCAATCATGAATTAGCACACTAGAGTTTTAACAACAACATGTATAAGCTTTAATTATATATTAGCATGTAAAATATATAAATCAGCAGACAAGAACCAGCATGAAAGACACTAAAATATGATTACATGTACCACTAAAATACAATGTAAGTATGTTTACAGTAGTGGGTTTAATATTCTAGCATCCCCATGTAGTGTAGATAAAAAATTATTCAAGTCGTGGCCGTAGGGCTAGGGTGGGGGCACCATGGAGAGTTAAAGACACAATCTTTAAAAGTCTTCTTTTTAAGGGGAATCAGGATGTTGAGGTGAGATATATGTAATTCAATTATTTTCATATTTTGTATGTATATTAAAAAAGCATGTCTTTCATACTTTAATGCAGTTCCTGCATCAGGTTCTAACTTAAAAAAAGAGATATTGCATGACAAGTTTTAGTCCTTGAGTATTTATATAGAGTTTGATTGATTCTTCAACCTTTATAATTCTGTCTGTAAGGGGGGATTTTAAAGCACTATTAAAAAATACATGAGTTCAATAGTGGACATCTACAGTAAAACACACTTATAGCAAAGATGCATATAACGAATTGACACTTACAGTGAAGAGATTGTAATTCCTGTGACTTTAAAATATATTGTAAACTTAATGGGTATGACAAATTACACTTACATGTATAACGAAGCAAAAAAGTCTGTCCCTGGCACTTTGTTATAAGTGTTTTATATCTATTTGATATTTTAAAATATGAATTGAGTTAAAGATTTAAAGGGCAGAATGCATATACATGGAATAAATTGCTTACTTTTCAAGTGAATTTAAATGAAGTTAATTAAAATTAGAAGAAAACATGCCATTCAATATTCAAACAGGGCACAACTGTATTACATACATGTATAACTACATGTAGGTTAAAAATACCCATATTTAACTTTTCCAATTTAAAAAAAAACAGAAAAACTCTATGACTTCACATGAAACTTTGGAAGTATAATATAGTCGAGATACATAGACACCTCTACTATAGTACCAGTCATGCTAAAGAGTGAAAAATATACATTGTATTTAAGATGCATATGCTCCTTTTTCCAAACGAACTTCACCATGCTTGGACAATGATCAGCTTTAAAGCTGTAGTCAGCTGTACTTGACTAGTCTTTATCTTATTTAATATATTAACAGCAAAATGCATGATATCACTGACTTGCTAGACAAGGGAGACAGGGGATTGGATCTGTCAATTTCATAAACTTATACAACTGTATTTCATTTATCTACATGTACATCATTTACATGTATTTGTAAGGAATAAAAGTATGACTCATGTGAGCATTGTGGGCCATGGATCTTTTGATTAGAACTTTGGTCATTGTAATTGCAGTAATACAAGAGAAGAAATTTTTAGGTCAGGAGAGCTGATTAACAATTCATTTTAAAATTGTAGGCAGTGGCTCCAGAGAGAATCCAAGAAGAGTTTTGAGATAGGTCAGGTATGGTACCTGATCAGCATGACATGGTGGAATTCCTGGATTGAATACGTCCAACCACCGGTATGTTTTAACACTTAAATGACCTAACATTCTTTTTTCTTCTAATTTTGTAATCTTAGTTATTCATTCCGCATTTCACTTAATCACGGTTAGAATTATATTGGAACTTTTTGCCTGCTAGAAATCTTGCAAAAATCTAATTAGACATGAAAAAAGCTAACCTGAGCCAAGGCTCGCTTGAATTTTTCTGATTGAAAAGTGTCTGGTATTTTTCATTGTTTTTTTTTTGTTGTCTTTAAACTTCTCACATACCAGAAACCAATTTTTAACCAAACAAAGGGAGTTGATTATAAAATTTTAAAAAAGCATGGGAACTTTAACCAGAGGCTCATGGACTACATCTCTCACCTGAGCACTGTGGCTATGAAAAAAGCAAAGATCCATTCAGTATTGAAAAGCTTAAATGCATAAGAGGTCCCAACCTATCCCTAAAGGGGGGGGGGGTATGATTTGAACAAAATCGAATCTACACTAACTAAGGATGCTTACATATTTATTTGACTAAAATTAGTTCTGGAGAAGATAAAATTGTGAAAAGTTAACGACAATGATGACGACAGACAATAGACAAATTGCTATCTGAAAAGCTCACTTGAGCCTTGACTCAGGTGAGCTTAAAATCTTATTAAAATCTTCCGTGGAAGAACAGGAAAGAATATGGTGTTATGTTTATAAAATTATAAAAAGATTCAAATTTGTTCAAGTCATGGCCATTTGGGCTTGGGTGGAGCTACCATAGTGGGGAAAGGTTTGACATATGAATAGGAAAAAATTCTTCATCTGAAGAACAGCAAGGCCACATTACTCATATTGATACAACAGCAAATCCCATTTAGAGAAAATTCAAATTTGATCAAATTTCCCTAAGGCTAGGGTTGGGTCACAAAATGGGGGCAAAATTTTGTAAAGTAAAACTTTTTATGTATGAACACTGATACATGTATAGTGAATTTACAGATATAACAAAGATTTTTGAGATCCCCAGCAAAATTCTTAACAAATCCTATGGCTTGTAAAATTTGTAAGTTACAGTTATAATAAACAAATTTACAGATATAACGAATTGATTTTGTATCCTGTATATAACGGATTTTTAAGATCACAAAATTTAAATTACCGGTATTGAACTGACATTATTGTTCATAAGTATTTATGTTTGAAAGAATGAGTGCACTTTAGAGTGTCATTTGGAGCCTTTTCGGCCACCCATTTTTAGCCTTAAATTAGACTATATTGCTAAATTAATCTATGATTATTGTGCATACATATGCTTCTGATATTTATACTTCGAATTTTTTGTTAAACATATTGCTATAATTCCACACAACGTCATTGAAAAGAACATGTATAAGCCTTAAATTCCGGAAATTTGAACTGGACCACTTTCGAATTTAAGGTACCCGCAAATGGGCGGAGATATTTAAATCGCATGGAAGCATAGAAGTGGAATGTAAACATTTGCACATTATTTCCAGATTGATTCTACAGTATGAATTTAAATGGAGGAGAGAAAGATTGTGTAGTTTCATGATTCACACAAATAATAAATGATTCATGGCCATACATATTGATCATTTTCATGATTCGTATCCATATGTTTGATGCCTAGCACTGAATTAGATCAATCTTAAGGACATACGCAACGTAGTTTGAACTTTATTGTCTTTTTCCCTGGAGTTGAAGAGTTCCAATACTTAAAGGAATTGTGTGCTACATTTGTTTGTCTATATAATATATATGCTGTTGTACACGTCTTCTAAAACTAGTGTGGATAAACAAAACATCTAGAATATGTGTTTAGTAATTTTTTTGTATTTTTCTTTGAATTATACAAGAATTTTCATCAATTGATATCTTTTCAAAACCCCTGGTAATGCATGCTGATTTTTTGTCGACGAACATCTGATGGCACTATAATCTTAAATTAAGAATATCTTGAAAAATTATCAGTAGGTAAGGTACGTTACGTATGTCCTTAAGTTTTCGCATATGATAAAAAATGCCCCCTCTTTTTTCTTTAGCTTTATCATTTTTTGTTTTATATGCTGAATGCTTTTCAATTCAAAGAATGAATGTATGTTTTAAGAAAGATTCACATTCACATGACTTCGATGTCACACTACATTTAATCGTAAATCACTGTACATGTAGTACGTAGAGTAATACAAACGTGTAGTGAAACAAATTATACATGTATGTAGTACTCACGGTGATACATATTTTATTATATGCATGTATAGATAAATTACATTCGGAAATGAAATAAAATTTTAACTTAAAATTTGGGTTGCTAGGTTAACATGAAAACTCCAAGAAATACAAACTATCTGTAATTTAAATTAACATTTTATTGACGGAACAAGTATATTTCAGATTAAAAAACATGGTCAACGAAAATTCTACAACGTTACTATATCGATAATCACTCGCTTATGTCTTCAATATCTCTTTCATTTTGGCAATCCAAATATTGTCAGGTATGATACTAGTGTTTAGGGATGTGTCTGTAGATGCCTGCAGACCATAATACAGAGGCGACATGAGCTAACATAGCTACATACTAATCGTGCACTTGATTTGCACTGGCAATACCAGAATTTCCTTTAAAATACCAAACGAAAAACACAATTTAGTGAAAGAAGACAAGGTAAACTTTAAGACCCTAATAAAATTTTCGCAAAATTCTTCATTATTTTGAAGTTGTTCAGGTCGGTACAAACGATGAGATTTGTAGTTACTAGTATTATACAAGTATTATATTTGTATTATAATACTTTCCTGTACACACGTTTATACGTTTTATTAGATTGTTAATAGACTTTAGGGATTTCTACGTGTTTCCCTCGCAATATCTTTCTCTCTCTCTCTCAATAATGGAAAACGAGGTTCTGTTAGCAGTATCTGTTATCGTATTATGTACTGCATTAAAACTGAAAAAAAAAACATTGTAATGGAAACAGGGGCGAAACACTCGTATATGTACTTGGTGCACACAATGCATCGCTAGATGAGGTTCAAAGAGAAGACCCCAGTAGTTATAAAAACTTCTTTAGAATAGATAACGCTGCATTTGAGCAACTTTTACAATTACATGTTACTCCTTTTGATCTTCTTCCCATAAAACAACGAGTTTTTCGATATTTTTACTGCTAAAGTCAACCATTATTTACCACGTGCTTTTTTTTTGTTATGATAAAAATAGGATGTCCACAATGTGATTGGTTTAAAAATGAAAGGTAATTTAAGACTTGTATTAAGAAATAGAGCATTGCCCTATTCTTAATATAGTTTTATAAGATTCGAAAAATCTTAGGATTCACTGTATTAAAAGTCTATACATAGTCAGATTTTGTACTTAAATACATATCCGTGTGTTCAGCCCTGAAGTCCATTGACAGACACAATGAAAGCATATCAAACAGTGGAATGTCACGTGAGTAAAGTGATTATAGTATCAAACAGGTCAAAATAGGTTGACACTCGGTGACCTGTTAATTTAGTAGCTAACCCGACCGTAGTTTGGAGAATTTTTTAAAAAAATTACATATGAGCCGCAAATTGTCCAACATTGCATTTTGGATATGTGTAAGTTTAAATCAAAATACACATTCTGTGCAAATGAGAAGAATGGACAAGTTGTGGCTCGATGTAAACAATGTGGTTGAAAACTGGTATGCATATGAATAACAATAGAAATGTGACTAAACTGCTAGACCCCTGTCGCAAAAACCAGTGTCGCTAGGCATTATTTAATATTTTTATGTGATATAATATATCAAACCCTGCTCTTAAGATATTGTTTAATAATTCTGATTCAAAAAGTTTATGAATTTCGGAAATTTATTATTGGCTAAGTAACGGGATCCAAGTCTCATTGGTTAAATGCACTGATTCTTAAATTCATCAAAAATTTTTAGAATCTCCAAGATATATTTTTTGTATTCAGTATATCCGTGAACATATTTGGCAGTCATACATGAAGGAAATCATGTGTATTGCAAATTCACCATATTTAGTTTAAAGAATTCTTTATACAGATATAACGATTTATGTATATACATGTAGCTAAGTAAATTGAAAGGTCCCAACGACTTCACTAATATGTTGATGGTGCGACCGTTAGGGCGAGCTCAGATATTTATTCAGGTTTAATTTAGATCGGGCTCGATCGTCAAACTGCACCTGACTCTGACGTCACATGATGTCGTATTTAAGTTGCATTTCCAAACCGAAGCCTGAATATTGTTAAAGAACGTTTTATTTAGCTGGGCTAGCTATAATGGAGTTTTACTGTATATGGATATAGAGGGAGAAATCTTGAAAGTCTTTGAGTCCTCTTAAGAACTGAAGAGTCATGGTGACTAAGAATTTTCATACATTGGCTTGCTATTGTACACTTGGACTGTTTACCAAAATGCCGAAATGTTTGTGTTGCACATGCACATGTTTATGTATTTTAATTCTTGATAAGAGAAATTTGTACTTGATTTCAGGTCCAATTGTTAAATGGCAGATTAGATAGTGGAGAACAGGTCAGAATGAATGGAACAGAGGCTATGCACAAAATAACCAAAAGCAAGCATGCCTCAAAAGCTCTACCCTGGGATGATGACTCAGTTATAATTGTGAATATGATAACAAAGGGAAAGAACTCTGAATACAACACTTCAATCAATGGCAGTTTCAAATCCAGCACAATTCCACAAAGGTCCCAGTCTGCTTGCAGTAGTCCAATTAAGACTTGTCTTTCTGCCTCAGACTCTAATGGACTCACAAGTGTTAGTCCAGGCCCCTCCCCAAAGCTCCGCAAAAAAGGACTTCAGCAGACGAATTCTCATCCTGTGAAACCTGGGCCTATTGATAACACCAACCTTATTACTCCTAACAATTCAAAGGTGAAATACTGATTATAGTCTATTCTTAGATTTTTTTCTATTTTATTTATTTATTTTTTGTTGTTGTTGTTGTTGTTGCTGTTTTTGCTTCAGAATAAGTAAAATCAAAACAGTAATAAAAATAACTCACATGTATGTATTTAGAGTGCAGTGAAAAATTATCTTATTTGGAAAAGGTGAGGGGGTACCAAACTAGAAAGAAAGAAAAAAATACCAAGATGTAAAATTGTACATCTTTAAGTCTGACATTATAATCAGTTTGTTTTCCATCAGAAGCTTGCAAAAAATGTGACACAGAAGGATATATGCTTAACTACATTGAATCAATTCCAGCTTATCTGTTTTGGAATTTTAGGTAATAAGTCTCACCAATGAGGGAGGCAGACTACGGAGGGATACCATGTTGGTGAGGGGCAAGGATTTTGAATTGGTGCCTGAAGTGATATGGAGGTCACTGTCAACCTGGTATGGAGGAAATATTGCTCTACCCAGGACAGTAAGTTTTTTTTTTTCACTAAATGTATTGCACAGTTAATTTTATTTGATAACAAGCAAAGATTTCTAAAGTTTTATATTATAACCTCCACAAATAATGTTTGGGTATATAGAAATCACCTTGTTTGTCTTTCTGTCTGTTAGTCTGTCTGTGCAATCTTGTACAGGTCATAACTTTGTAATGTAGAAAAATAAGAAGCTCATACTTGGCATTGTTTAAGATCTAAGAGAGTGTTGTGAGCTTGATTCAAAGTCACTCTGGCAAGTTCAAGGTTACTGCAGAAAAAGTCTAAAATTTGTGTAGTATAAAAACATTGGAAGTTCATACCTTATGCAAATTATGATTTTTACCCAAGATTATTTGATCTAGTTCAAGATCACTTCTTAGAAAAATGTGTAATTCCTGCCTTGACTATATCTTGTAATGGTAAACATTGGAAGCTCATATGTTATGCAAAGGTTGCTTACGACCTGAGGGTATGTACTGACCTTGACCAAGGTCATTCCAGCAAGTTAAAGGTCACTGTCAGAAAATGTCTAATTTTTGTCCGGTCCAAAACACTAATGGAGAAAATTGGAAGTTGATAGTTGACACAAAGATTGCTTAATAACTTTAGGATGTGTCATGATCTTGACCAAGGCCATTTGGCAAGTTGCAAGGCCACTGGCAGAAAAGTGTAAAATTTATGTCCAGTCCATAATTTCCTATTGGAATAACATTGTATATTTATACTCCACACAAATATTACTAATGTCACGATGACCTTGACCAAAAGATATTCTGACAAGTTCAAGGTCACTGGCAAAAAAAAGTGTGTCTAGATCATAACTCTAATGGATAAATAAAAGCACAGAATATATAAGAGCTGAGAGTATTTCATAACCAAGACCCTTATTAACTCTGGCAAGTTCAAGATCATTGACAGAAAAAAGTGTAAATTCATGTCAGGTACATAATTTTCTAGTGGAGAAAAAATTGGAAGTTCCTATTTCACACAAAAATTACTTATGACCACAGAGGGGTGGGTCATTTTCTTGAGCAAAGGTCATTTTGGTAAGTTCAAGGTCATTGTATAGTAGAAAAAATATATCTGGGTATTTAAAAAAAGGTGCAGTAGGGGCTATAATTTTGTGAGGTCATTCACAGTACCTCTAGTTAACATAAGTCGCGGGTTTGCTGACGTCGTTAAAACTGGGTACGCAATTTATATGATTTGGGCGACTTTCTTGTGCACATTTGATTATGACGTCACAATGAAAAAGAAATCTGCGATGATTTTTATGCCCCCGGATCGAAAGATCCCGGGGGTATATTGTTTTTGTCCTGTCTGTCTGTTTGTCTGTTTGTCTGTCTGTCTGTTGTCAACTTTAACCTTGCCCATAACTTTTGATTGGTTGGAGCTATGACTTTCATATTTCACATGTGTATTCCTTGTGACAAGACCTTTCTTTGGGTACCATCATATTTGACCTTTTGACCTTGACCTTGGAGTTTGACCCACTTTTGCAAAATTTTATGAGACTTTAACCTTGGCCATAACTTCTGAACAGTTGGAGCTTGGGGTTTCAAACTTCACATGTGTATTCTTTGTGACAAGGCCTTCTTTTGGATACCAACCACTTTGACCTTTTGACCTTGACCTTGGACTTTGACCTACTTTTGAAAAACTTTAACCTTGGCCATAACTTTTGAATGGTTGGAGCTAGGGCTTTCATACTTCACATATGTAATCCTTGTGACAAGACTTTCCTTTGCATACCAACCACTTTGACCCTTTTGACCTTGACCTAGGAGTTTGACCTACTTTTGAAAAACTTTAACCTTGGCCATAACTTTTGAATGGTTGGAGCTAGGGCTTTCATACTTCACATATGTAATCCTTGTGACAAGACCTTCCTTTGAATACCAATGACTTTGACCTTTTGACCTTGACCTAGGAGTTTGACCTACTTTTGAAAAACTTTTACCTTGACCATAACTTTTGAATGGTTGATGCTAGGGCTTTCATACTTCACATATGTAATCCTTGTGACAAGACCTTCCTTTGGATACCAACCACTTTGACCCTTTGACCTTGAACTAGGAGTTTGACCTACTTTTGAAAAACTTTAACCTTGGCCATAACTTTTGAATGGTTGGTGCTAGGGCTTTCATACTTCACATATGTAATCCATGTGACGAGATCTTCCTTTGGATACCAACCACTTTGACCTTGACCTTGACGTTTGACTTTTATTTAAAAAATTTTAACCTTCACCATAACTTTTGAACAGTTGTATCTAGGTCTTTCAAATTCCACATGTGTTTTCCTCGAGACAAGATCTTTCTTTGGGTATCAACATTTTTTATCTTTTGGCCCGGATTTTGACTTGCATTTGAGAAACTTTAACTTCGACATAAGCTGCCATACGGGGGCATAGTGTTTCACAAACACATCTTGTTGTTTTATTAAATTCTTCAGTATATCATTATTTAGTTATAACTTTTCTTGGAATTGGTAGTTAAGTGTTATATAATTTAAGCAACAACTTATCACAAATAATGAAGACATTTTACGATTTGTATAGTCGATACAATACTTACATAATCATATAACTTTTGTTGGAATTGGTAATTTAGTGAAGAAGGCTTATTACGATTCGAATGATCGACACTGGAATTATTAAAAAACGTTTAATTATTTGTTATCTTCTCGGGCCTTCCCTGCAAGCTTGGAAAAACAAGTGGTTGTTTTTCGGCTTGTCGGAAAGGCCCGAGAAATTGCGATTGATTTGTTTTCACTTGGTATCGCAAAACGATATGGACACAAGATTCATCTGACCTTTTTTCCCTTGATCGTATTTGAATTAACAGTTTGTTTTATTAATAAAGAAGCCATTACTTAAAAAAAATCGCAAACACACCTGTTACATCAAAAGATTAACCTTTATTTTTAAAAAGGGTATTTTTAAAATATATAAATCTACAAGTTTATCATAAATTAAATACTTCTAAGGTACTATGAAACATAAAGACAATTTTTTAGCGACACTGACCTCCTGTAAGGGGACAACTATTTGATTTTGAGGGAGATTGGGATGGCAAATTTTACCGAGTAAGATTGTTTATTTTCATGTCGGTGAAGGACAGATTATTTATTTCTGCTTCAATGAAAAAAGTCTGACAAGCAAAAAAAAAAAAAAGAAAGAAAGAAAAACACCAAAGTTGAAAACTCCCATTGGAGGGGGGGGGGGGGGGGGGTGCTAGAACTAGTCATGGACAGATTATTTATTTTCAAAATTTTCGAGGACAGATTATTTAATTACAAAATCTGTAACCCCCCCACCCCACCCCCCCGAATGAAATGATCGTCCCCTAAGCAATAGCTAGCAATGCTGTTTAATATATACCTACAGATTTTATTCACCAATTTGCTTTCCATGTCCAACAAGTAGAATTTATGTTCTAAAAAATGGCTGTTGATTACGTCAGATAAAATTAATTTTTAAATTCTCATCCCATTTACCCCTCTGAAAATGTGGTATGTAAAAATAAATATTTTGTTTAAATATATACCGAAAATATATTGTATTTAGCCGGTACTATATTTGGCAGAAATTCGATGATTTGAGCGCCTTGCTGAATGGTCTAAATAAAAACATTTTATATACTTGAATTACTTGAATTAGAGGATACCGTTTTCCGCCAGCACGCTGGAAAAGAAAAATACACATCCAAATGTAAGGATACGTCTAATCTACGAAAAAAAGCAAAACAAAAACAAACAGAGAAGAAACGGTAAGAAAACAACACATAAAGAAAGTAAATTGGAAGAAAGAAACTAAAGGATGATTGTTGTTTTACGTCTCTTGCGAGAATTTTCACAAATATAAGACGTACAAAAAACCTAATATGAAGAGAAACATGGCTAATAATCATTTCATTGATATTGAATTATTATGATCAATTCACGGGTCACTTGAAAGCAGATAGACGTGGATTTCTTTTTTATAAAAATTATTTTATCTTATTTTTCTGCACTGAATACCGAATAGACATTCTCGACATCAAGCATGACGTTGCGATATTTTATGACGTCGTTCTTAAAAATGTTACATTTTGCGATATAAAAGCAATTGTCCACATTTAAATTACGCGAAAACTAACCTGAAGACATATTAATTTTTTCACATTGATTTATTTCAAATCAATTCTTTGTTAAAATACCAAAGGGGAAACAATTTCGTCTGCACCATTTAAAAGTTATTGATATTTTTTGAAACAAAATCTTGCCTCAAAACTAGCCGAAAACGACATTTTTCTTATATTATTCAATAGAATAATGTCGAAAATGTAACGACAACAATGGCATGTTTGGGATTTAATTACACAAAAACAATGCAGACGAATTTTATAAAATTTTCAGAGAATATAAAACGAAGGTAGAGGATTCATATAACTAATTTTCATGGTATGTATTCGGACACTTTTAAATGGCCTGCAAACCCGCGACCTACGTTAAATTTGGATTCATTTTAAAATGAGAAAAATGCAATCCTGTTTTGCTTAAGAAAATGTTGCATAGCCAAAATCCTGCACTTTTGTTTTGCAATGTAAAATTCATTTGAACATTACCTTGATTAGGTGATTGCCTCCAAAAACAACAATGGCAGTCCAGAACTGGAGCTGTACCCTGTGACGGTGAAGCTGTTACGACACCAGGTTGTTCCTCAACGTCCCAACCCCACCTCATTCTCAGGGGTCATGTCTGGAATAGGTGGCATGGCCCTTAGTAAGTATTTATTTGCCATTTTAATAGGGACATTGACAAAGGAAATTTGATGTAGTGTTTCTGTAAGGCAATTAATTTGCTTACAGAAAACATGAGAAAAGCATGATTTTTCATTTGATTAATTTATTTGAGGGTATAAAGTTATAAATGACCTTTGAACTCTCTATAGGCATGACAAACTATGTCTCCAGTGCACCACCTATTCCAAGGCGCTATGTTGCTTTTACTGCAACCTTCAGCAAGCAACACACCATACAGCAAGTGTATGAATTTCTCTGTACAAAAGTTCGATTTATCAGGGAGGATATCAGGCTATGGAAGATAGGAAGTAAAGATGATGTAAGTGGTGTTTATCTTTGTAGAAGTTTTTGTTTCTTTTTTATTTCCAAGGAAATCATTGAACGTTTGTTAAACTCACTTAAACTGGATTATCCTCACAATAAAGCAGCAGTGCCTGATTAAATGAAAATGCTTCTAAGATACCAATAATTGTACATGTAAATAATTGCTTTTTGTGCAAGATTACAAATGTGTCAGATCAATTCTTGGTCCCTCATGTGTTTGATATAAAAAAGAAAGTTGTGTTCAGTTCAAGCATCAGTCTAGAACATGCCCTGATTCTTAGTGCCAGAAGTTAACATTAGAATATTGCTGAAGTTAGCTTTGGTAACACCTGAATTTATTTTGTTGACACAGAGCATGACACTCCTAGAAGATGAATCTATGACAGTAGAAGATTGTGGAATAGAAGAAAACCAGTCACTATTGATAGAGGGTACGTTTTGATTGAAAAAACTTAATTTACAATATATGATGTTCAGTCTTGTTTTTTTTTCTGTGAGGTTGTTTTGTGTACATGTAAAATAAGATAATTAAAAAGATAATCAGATATTACAAAACTAATTTCAGTTCGAAACAAGGACCTGACATGGCCTGAAGAAATGTCTCAGCTGGCAAAAAATAAAACATGTCGCAAAGAGCAAGGTAAGGTTTATATTATTAAAAATCAGTTAGTTTGTAACAGGTATTGTATATTTGCATATAAATATTAAATATATATTTGTAGATAAATATTAATTGTTTTATGCATAAAGAAAATTCATTTAAAAAAAACTGTTTTTTTGCAGAAAATATGAATGTTTTATTTTGTCTCTATAGTACCCACCCAGAAGGGAGCTACAGGACTTAACAATCTAGGAAACACGTGTTTTATGAATGCTGCTGTACAGTGTGTGTCGAACACTTGGCCTTTAACTCAGTATTTTATTGGAGGGTTACATCTGTTTGAACTTAACAGGTGAATAATGTTTTTTTGTAAAAATTAACAACCAAGATACTCCATTTTATCCACATTCTACAGCTTTGGAATGTTTTATGTGATGTTTATGATGATTTCTGTGCAGGTCTAATCCTCTAGGGATGAAGGGACATATTGCTCAGAGATATGGAGAACTAGTCAAGGATCTGTGGAGCGGAACCTCCAAAACCATAGCTCCTCTTAAGCTCCGAGTAAGATTACATATTTATAGCTCCTTTTAAGCTCCGAGTAAGATTACATATTCATAGCTCCTCATAAACTCTGAGTAAGATTGCATATCCATAGCTCCTCATAAACTCTGAGTAAGATTGCATATCCATAGCTCCTCATAAACTCTGAGTAAGATTACATATCCATAGCTCCTTTTAAGCTATGAGTAAGATTACAAAACAATATCTCCTTTTAAGCTATGAGTAAGAATACAAAACATCCAAGTAAGGTTACATATTTAAACTCAAAGTATGGTTTCATATTAAATCTCCAAGTGAGGAAATATATTCAGTCTCCACAAGTGTGTAGTAAGGTTGCATATTCAAGCTCAGGATAAGGCTACATACATCTATTTCAGATCCATGTTAGGCTAGATATTTATGCTTCAAGTAAGATTACATACATGTAGTTAATCTCTTAAGTGAGGCTTCATATCTAATCTCTGAGTAAGGCTACATATTGAAGCTCCGAAAAAGGCTATGTATTTAATCTTTGACTAAGGTTACATATTTAAGATCTGAGTAAGGTTACTTAAAAGTTTACATATTTAAGGCTCAAGTAAGGTTACATATTCTAGCTCCATGTAAAGTAATGTAAAATGTAAAGTAACTTAAATATTAAGACAAATTCACAAGTAATCTGTGTAACTTTTTTTTCTTTGGTTCATCATTTTATTCATACATCATAGACTTGAAATTTTATTTAAGATTTACGAATGCAAATTTTTACTTACACAAACTTTGGTGGAATAGCTTTATGACGAATTCTGTAAATGTATTATATTTAGCATGTACGATATTTGGTGGAAATTGATTTTTGAACATGTTAGCATAGATTTGATTTTTATAGCACATTTCTTAGTGTTCTTATGTATGTGTATATGTGCAAGACATTTAGCGATATACTTGAATTAGCGGAAGTTGCTTTCCGCTAAAGGCGCCAAAATGAATACACAGCCAAATGTAATACATTTACAGTATTTATTGATCTTGTACAAAATCTTGCTGTATTTTGAAAATGCATAAGGAAGTTTTGTGAGATATTAAAAATAGTAACATTTCATTGTAATACTAAAGAGAAATGTTGTGTTGCAGTGGACTATTGGTAAATACGCACCACGTTTTAATGGCTTTCAACAACACGACTCTCAGGAATTACTTAGCTTTCTTTTAGATGGTCTCCATGAGGATCTCAACAGGTGAGAGCAGGCAGGCTATGGTTTATGGAATACATGGAGAATATTCAATGTTTTGAAGTTGAATATGGAATTATTTCATGAATGGGACAGGATCTTTTAAAATATTTTTAAGAGTGCCAAGCACAAGTGAAAATACAAAAAAAATCCTGTCTCACAAGTGAAATAAATTCCTTATTCAACTTCTAAATATTGAATTTTCTGTTCATTACATTTTCTTTGATTTTCCCTTTGCCTCCGTCTTTTCGTAACACACTGATGTCATAGCTGAGCAGTGGAGACATCTAAGCTTAGCGATTGTGAGATTGAAAACATTGTAACATCAGCTGATTACATGGATTTCAACAACATATGTGAAGAAACTTTGGCAGTTTTAGTCTCTGTGTCCAGATGGTTCATTTACTCTGTCTTATTACTGGCCAGGGAGGTTTTTTTACAACACTCCTCATGAAAGGAAGGGAAATCTTGAGTTTTGCTGCACTTCTGATATTTTTTCACACTGTGACAAAAAATATTACTTTTATTTTATAAATACAGTATTTCTTGGTTGATGAAAGGAAGGGAAATCTTGAGTTTTGCTGCACTTCTGATATTTTTTCACACTGTGACAAAAAATATTACTTTTATTTTATAAATACAGTATTTCTTGGTTGAAAATGTAATAAATGATTTTTTTTTTAATAATAAAATGCATGTTAATTATTTTTCCTTTGTATTGTTAGAAGTTGAATGTTTTGTGTATAAACATTTACACATATTTTCTTTTTTAATGCTAATGTCAGAGTAGTTTCAACTTTAACCCAGTTTTTTATACATTAATTGACAAATTTCTAAAGTGTCTCTATGTCCTTAAACAGGGTTCATGTTAAACCTTATGTAGAACTGAAGGACAGTGATGGCAGACAGGATGAAGTGGTGGCTGAGGAGGTAAGAGTGACGGATTGTAGAAATCAGCTGATTCTAGCCACATAGAAAAGGAATCTTTAACATTACAGAATAATTAGTAACAAATTATTGGAAGTTTATTGTTATAAATGACAGATATAAAATTGGTACATGTGGATATGCTCAAATGTTGTGTACATTTATGCAGGTGCTGTAATTGTGGATAAGTTGTCTAGTTGAACTTTTTCTTTACTGTAGAAATTTGGCTCATGGGAACCCTGACATTGTACTAGTACTGTACATGTATTTAATCTTCTGTTGAACACTGATAGGATATTGATGCATGGAAACACTGGCAATTAATAACCAATCCTCAATTTTGTTAATGCTTCCATGTTGTCAAAAAATCCAATTTAAAAATGGGGATGGTACTGTTAATTTTATGAATTTTACATGTACATATGTCTCTAAAATTGCTAAGTATAAAATAATTATTTTAAAATATTATCTTTTAAGATATTTTTATGTGTGTTTCAGGCATGGGAAAACCACTTAAGGAGAAACCAGTCCATAATCGTTGATCTCTTTCATGGCCAACTCAAGTCCCAAGTGCGCTGTAAAGAATGTGGACACATGAGTGTCCGTTTTGACCCATTTAACTACCTCTCTCTCCCCCTTCCAATGGACAGCTGTATTCATCTAGAAGTCATAGGTAGGTAGTAATTGCTGAATTTTTTTTATACCATCTGTATTATATTTAATATGTACATGCATGTTCAGATTTTGTAGTGACTTACATGTGCTGATTTTTTAGTGACTTACAAATATTGATTTTGTAGTGACTTACTTGTACTTATTTTGTAGTGACTGACATGTACTGATTTTGAAGTGACTTACTTTTACTAATTTAGTAGTGACTTATTTGTACTGATTTTGTAGTGACTTACTTGTACATGTACTAATTTTTTTACTGACTTACTTGTACTGATTTTGTAGTGACTGACATGTACTGATTTTGTAGTGACAAGACTGGATGGATCAGTACCAGTCAAATATGGCATTCGACTCAATATGGATGAAAAGTACAAAACTTTGAAGAAAGAGCTCAGTAGTCTGACAGGAATTCCACCTGGACAGATCCTGTTTGTGGAAATCATGGGACCAATTGTCAAGGTCAGACATTTTATTATCTCTAAGTACTGTAAAATCACTCAAGTTTGAGGGAAAAATTACTGGTTCGAGGGGATTTGATTTTGTGGTCAAAGGGTAACATTAGACTTTAGTATGAAATGTTAGCATTTTACCGTGGATATGAATTTGGGGGTCTCTTCATTCATGAGAACAACAAAATTTAAACCCCCATTAAGATTGGTGATTTCACAGTTTAGGAACCGTGTGTAGATCATGTCTCATTACATGATGAAAAACCAATTTTTTAATAATTTATGCAAGTAGCTTACACCAAGATAGAAGATTCTGTGTATCATTTTTTTAAGTGTTGTTATGGTTAAAAATAGAATAATCTGTAAAATTCTTTCAAAATGCTATCCCATCTATAGTTTTGGTTCAATTTCATCAAAACATGATGCACAAGTAAGATTAAACCAAGGTTCAAAATTTTGTATATCAGTTTATGAATACCATGGTGTTGCTGTAAAAAATGCAAGTTAAGAATGTAAAATCCCACCCTCCCCCCAAAAAAGGGACAAGTCTTAAGTGTAACTTTTAGATAATCTTGAATTCAACCCAGTAGAGCTACAGTCTCATTAGAGACTTTTGGTTGTATTAGTCTATCAGATTATTAGATTATTTGAGTATTTATTTTATTCTCAGTTACATCTTACATGTGAACGATTTCATCATATGTGAAGCATGTCACTTATTAGTCAGTTATTGGTCCCCTACCAGTGAAACCAGAGGGGACTACAAGTTTTCTCCTCATCTCTCCATCTCTCTGTCTGTCTGTCAGTTTGTCTCACTTGGTTGTCTGCATTTTAATTTTTTATACATGTTTGCAGATAATGAACTGATTTTTAGAATGTGTATGTACCTTGATGAGTTGCAGATCAAGTTTCCATTTCATTCCGCTTGGGTGATTTTTGACAGAATTATTGCCTTTTAAATTTCTAAGGGGGACCAGATTTCCCACTTGGTTTTCCACACTTTTTTACTAAACACTTGCAAATATTGAGCTGCTTTATAGTATGTGAGTCTACCTTGTTGAGTTATAGATCAAGTTTGCATTTTGTTCCACTTTGATAAATTTTGACGGAATTATGCCTTTTTAAATTTTTAGAGGAGTCAGATTACACTTGTCATTAGGGGACTAGTACATTTGTATTGCTTTTGCAATATTCTCAGAATGCTTGTTCTAAAGGCCAAAGTTTTCAATCATAGCAGTAAAATTGTACTGGCTTTTGAGTAGGTGAGAGCCTCTGATGGACTGTTGTCCCATCCAAGTCTGAGTCTGTGACTTACTTTAACTAAGAGCAATGAAAACTTTGTTCAAGCATCAGCTTTCTTAGCTAGTAGGAATTGACTTAACTGCACTTAAGTACAACTCAATAATATTTATTTTAACAATACCATTACTTTATGAGTTAAGACATACTTTTTCCTCAAGTTGTAATTCCATGGGTGAAATTTTTTGTGGAATTCTTGGATTGTCATTTTATGTCTCAAATGCACTTTCAATGTGCTGTGACAAATTTCTGCAGAAAATTTGTTACTGCGTGGTTTAGTGTACTAAATTAATCACATCCCCCTCCCCCCCTCAAAAAAAAAAAAATTATAGTATCTAAAAAAGTGAATGGGTTTTAGACTTTTCTTTATTACAACATGAGACCAGAACCTTATGAATTCAAGCCAGTGGTGACAGCTTATAGCTTCTTAGTAAAAAAAAAAAAGGAGGGAATTTTGTAATGCAATTGTTTATGTAGGCAACATTAGATCACATGGATAAAAATAGTAACTGTTGGTAAACATTATAGAGATAATTCCACAAATGGTTGAAATTGATTGCTCAGAAAATATGAATAATTTTGCATCATAACAAATATGTACCAGCAGTGTTTAATCTTAAGAAGTAGAGATTCCAGTTCTTAGTTATATATTAAGTATGCATAAACAAATTGGTTTGGCTGCATAAAAGTTTCTTATAAATATGTGTAATATCAAAGCTTTTCTACCTCACGGTTTTTCCCTCTCCAAATTTTAAGCTATCTAGGCTTGCATTTAAGAAATTTCCACACTTCCTTACGAAATTGAGGATTCATAAAAGAATAGATAATTGGATTAGCAGTATTGTTCAGAAAGTACATAAGGTAGATAACTCTGCTTCCTTTGAATTCTGGGAGAAGGTTATTGGCAATGAGAAAAGTAGGCAAAAAAGACACTATATACACCACTGTAACAGTGAAGAGAACCTGGGTTGTTTTTATGTGCATCTTCCTGGAGGTTTTTATAGCAGGATTTCTGCTTTGAACTTTGTTGGTTAGACTTTTGGAAGCTGAAGGCACAGAATTTGATTTTATGTCCACCTTTTGGTCATCAGGAATAGCAGGCAATATTTTCAGAGTTTGTTTTTTCACCCACTTTTCAACACTTGAAGATTTTTGTCTTGTGGAATTTGTTTTAGATGAATTTGTTAATGGAGCAGTGTTTATTTTAGATATATTAGAAGTGGAAGGTATGGAATTTGAATTTGTTTCCATGTTATTTTCATGCAAAGTGCTTGGGAATAATTTCACAGTTTGTTTTTTCATCAACTTTTCAACACTTTTAGATCCATATGTAGAAATTTCCTCAATTAGATCTGTGGATGGGGTGTTTTCTTCTTCAATATTCTCAATTTGGGTGTCTGGATTACTTCCAGAAGGGAGTTCAATATTTTCTATTTGTGTGCTAGTGTCACACAATTGTTGGCTGCTGTTCTTTGGAATTTTAAGCAGTTTCTCACTTGCTCTTGTTGCAAACATGACGTCGGAAGTAGATGAATTTCTGCGCAATTCTTTGCAGTTTTCTGACTGTTTACATGTAGTTGGCTGTGTCTGCTGAGATCGAATCTTGTTCCATTTTCTGTTCTGAATTAAGACAGTGAAGAAAATGGAAGAATAGAAGATAATTATGCTGACGATCATGAGGATAAAGATGGAGGTTATTCCAAGCCAGTATTTCGTCAGGGAATCCAAGGAGAGGTACTGATAGTTGGTAATGCAGTACCCTAAATAGAATCCATTCCCAGAGTAAACACCCATTCCCAGTGCAGGGGGTACCCCGAGACATGCACCAAATAGAAAAATCACCAAAATAATCAGAAAGGTCATGTTCTTTGAAACTCGTCGAGGAGCAAAGCAGATCACAACACATCTTTCAAAAGCTATGGCAACTAAAACCATGGCTGAGGTTGGAATAGTGAAAAAGCGAACTGCTTCCCAGAGTTTGCACAGGAAGTCACTGGTGAAGGGGAAGTGCCATTCGGTGATGACAATTCCAGGGATGACCACAGCACAGGCGATGAGATCAAGAATGCACAACATGAGCATGAAATAAATGGATGTCTGCTTCATCTTGGTTTTCAGCAGGACAATCAGAACGAGACTGTTTCCCATGAAGCCCACAGTTCCCAGGATTCCAAGCATAATGGATATGCACATCAGAATGGTGTAGTACTCTTGTCGATATCTTAATTCAAAGATGCAGTACAAGGAATAACAGGGGAGTGGATCATAGTATATGTCCACAGATGAGGTGGAGGTATCATTTACAGAAGATGTGTTTGTTGTTGTCAGAGTTGAATTTAGTATGTCCTCTGTTGTGCCTGCATCCTGGGTTGTCATTTTAAGTTATTCTTAGATCTGAGTGAATGAAAATAAATGAAAAATTATCTGGTACATGTAAAAAAAAAAATGTTATTGAAGATGTTCTTCACATAGAGGCACTTTGATTACTCCTGAGGTATGATTTTCATTACAGAAGTATTAAATAGTTGACTTTAAAACTTTTTTTTAAAATGTGATTTAGAAAACATAACCTTTAAGACCTTTATCAGGAAAAAAAACAACCCAAAAAGTAATTTTACATACCTTTTCAGTACCAATAAAAAAAAATGAAACTATTCCAGTAGATTAACAACAGCTATTTCATCTATTCATTCACTTTCTATTGAGAAAACTGTTGATTTTTTTTCCTTGAAAGTATTGGAATATGGGGTGATGATAAACAAATGAGGAGCATATGGCTCTGGATTGAGCAATAAAATGAATAGGGCGGTCTCAAAGTATGATGAAAGTGAAGGGGAGGGGCTTATACGTATCAATTCCTTAAGTCAGATATGGAAAAAGTGCAGTGATTTTTATAGTTATATGTCATTGATATTAGAAATGGTGCTCAGCGTATGCTCAAGTATTTCTAACTCTAAAAAAATTTTCAGGTTAGTAAGTTCGATTGATTATTACTAGGCTGACCTAGGTTTAAATTCTTACAATTTTCAGAATTAATTTAATTTCCTCTTTGTAGAAAATATAGATTAGTATCCCAAGTGCATTTATTTATCTATATCAACATAAATTCAAAGGTATTATTTACATTCCTTAAAAAAAAAATAAAAAATTCTATAATTCAATACTGTTTCTTATCTTATTAAAAATGCAAATAATAAAAAGATAACTTACTTTCATAAGGCTTGTATGAATTTGAACATATCTGCATTTTTATTTTTGACCAAACAAACTTTTATATGGTTCAGAAAATTAGGCCTATACCATTGTTTTATTCTTTCAGATTATTTTTGTTGTATTCATGTTTTTGTATTCATCAATTCATCGGAAAATGAACCTACTCATACCCAGAAATAAAAATTTATTACAATCTTGACCTTAGTAAACGCTACTCTATTTGTAGATTAAGAAACTGTTTATGGCCATCCCATATCAATTTCCCAAACAAATGGCCTTTCCCGAGTGTCATCCAAAACCATCTGTTGTTGTTGAACAAAATAAAGATTAGTGCTGATTTGTTAAAAAGAGACTCCCGATTTCATGCTGTCTTGCGTTTAGGATGTTTGTGACTGGAGGATTTAGCATTCATTTACGATTACTCCTAAAATTTACACAGCACTTGTTGCTCGCTCAATATCCTGCCTTGTCCACTTCTGGTAGTCAGAGAAAATTACGTCATGATTAGAAAGTGTTCCCTGGTTTGGAGAGTGACCGATAAAAGTTAGTTCTGATTGCTTGTTAATACCTCAGTTCATTAAGTTGAACCTCATAATCCTTTCTGTGGTGACATAGTAACAGTGATAATGTGGAAAAAGTTGGGATTTTAGATTATGGTCACCTAATTGTTGACAGTTCTATTTCTGGAGAAATTGTTTACAAATATGAAAGTAAAAATATTGCTTATTATAATTAATGAAGTAATGTATTTGCCCCATTTATGCACCTGTGGGGTTGGAAAATTGACAATTCATTCAAATTTTTGTCACTTTTGCAAAAATATCAGATCAAGTGAGTTTATCTTAATTGATAGTTCTTAGATAAATGTTTATCATATTAATCTTTATTTTGTATTTTGATTGAAAAGAAGGTTCTGTTGAAACTTAACAGCATCTCAGAAAAAATTATAAAAATTGATTTTTAATGGGTGAAATATAAACAGCAGGGAAAGATTGTGGGATCATACTTAGAGACTCCAGAAGTTACACGGAACCATTTCTGAAAGCCACATACTGAGACATTGTATTTAAAACAAACAAACAAAAATTTAAAAAAAAAAAACAAACAAATAAACAAAAACACACACACACAACAAACTAGCAGCATCTTGGTAAAGTCCTCAGCAAATTAGAAAGAGTTTTTTTTCAGCCTTTGCTCACACAGTTATTTGGTTGTTGTTTTTTTATTTAATTAGTTTTTTTTCTTTGCTATGAATATCATTTTTTTTAAAATTTATGATTTCATTTCTTTTGTTTGCTTACAGGCATTACCACAAGATAACCACAAAGTGAAGACTCTAATGGGAGGAGTATTGTATGCATACGAGCTCCCACCTCACGAGGAAATCAAACCCATGACATTGGAGGAGGAGAAAGGAACCGTCCTCAAAAACTCTGTAGGCCTCAATGATATTCAGCGAGGACTAGCCACAAGTATGCCCCTAAAACATTTCATTTCTAAAAACTACAGATTGGACCATCTTTAAAATAATGTTTGTTTGCCCTTTCCAGGATAAAATAATTAGGTCGGAAGTAAGATGGGAAAATTTTTTTCCCTAGAAATATTTAGGTTTAAGGTTTAAAAAAGTTTTGAATTGAGCCATTTTTAACCCGTCGATTTGGAGAGAGCAAACAAACAATTTTTAGCTCTACTGGTCAGAGACCAGAAGAGCTTATGCGATAGTAAGGTGTCCGTCGTCAGTCCGTCTGTCTGTCTGTCTGTCCGTCTGTCTGTAAACAATTTTTCAAAACGCTACTCCTCCTACAGTTTGGTCCAATTTCAATATAACTTGGCACACAAGTAGACTACACTAAGATACATAATTTAGTGCATCGGTTTTTGATTTCGATGGACGGTGTTGCCATGGTTACTAAAAATAGAAATTTCTGTGAAATTCCTTTAAAACGCTACTCCTCCTACAGTTTTGGTCCAATTTCAATATATCTTGGCACACAAGTAGACTACACTAAGATACATAATTTAGTGCATCGGTTTTTGATTTCGATGGACGGTGTTGCCATGGTTACTAAAAATAGAAATTTCTGTGAAATTCATTTAAAACACTACTCCTCCTACAGTTTTGGTCGGATTTCAATATAACTTGGCACACAAGTACACTACACTAAGATACATAATATAGTGCATCGGTTTTTGATTTCGATGGACGGTGTTGCCATGGTTACTAAAAATAGAAATTTCTGTGAAATTCCTTTAAAACGCTACTCCTCCTACAGTTTTGGTCCGATTTCAATATAACTTGGCACACAAGTAGACTACACTAAGATACATAATATAGTGCATCGGTTTTTGATTTCGATGGACGGTGTTGCCATGGTTACTAAAAATAGAAATTTCTGTGAAATTCCTTTAAAACGCTACTCCTCCTACAGTTTTGGTCCGATTTCAATATAACTTGGCACACAAGTAGACTACACTAAGATACATAATTTAGTGCATCGGTTTTTGATTTCGATGGACGGTGTTGCCATGGTTACTAAAAATAGAAATTTCTGTGAAATTCCTTTAAAACGCTACTCCTCCTACAGTTTTGGTCCGATTTCAATATATCTTGGCACACAAGTAGACTACACTAAGATACATAATTTAGTGCATCGGTTTTTGATTTCGATGGACGGTGTTGCCATGGTTACTAAAAATAGAAATTTCTGTGAAATTCCTTTAAAACGCTACTCCTCCTACAGTTTTGGTCCGATTTCAATATATCTTGGCACACAAGTAGACTACACTAAGATACATAATTTAGTGCATCGGTTTTTGATTTCGATGGACGGTGTTGCCATGGTTACTAAAAATAGAAATTTCTGTGAAATTCCTTTAAAACGCTACTCCTCCTACAGTTTTGGTCCGATTTCAATATATCTTGGCACACAAGTAGACTACACTAAGATACATAATTTAGTGCATCGGTTTTTGATTTCGATGGACGGTGTTGCCATGGTTACTAAAAATAGAAATTTCTGTGAAATTCCTTTAAAACGCTACTCCTCCTACAGTTTTGGTCCGATTTCAATATATCTTGGCACACAAGTAGACTACACTAAGATACATAATTTAGTGCATCGGTTTTTGATTTCGATGGACGGTGTTGCCATGGTTACTAAAAATAGAAATTTCTGTGAAATTCCTTTAAAACGCTACTCCTCCTACAGTTTTGGTCCGATTTCAATATAACTTGGCACACAAGTAGACTACACTAAGATACATAATTTAGTGCATCGGTTTTTGATTTCGATGGACGGTGTTGCCATGGTTACTAAAAATAGAAATTTCTGTGAAATTCCTTTAAAACGCTACTCCTCCTACAGTTTTGGTCCGATTTCAGTATTACTTGGCACACAAGTACACTACTCTAAGATGCATAATTTAGTGCATCGGTTTTTGAATTCAATGGACGGTGTTGCCATGGTTACTAAAAATAGAAATTTCTGTGAAATTCCTTTAAAACACTACTCCTGCTACAGTTTTAGTCTGCTTCTAATATAATTAGGCATACAAGAAGACTATACTAAGATACATAATTTACTGCATTGGTTTTTGAATTCAATGAACAGTGTTGCCATGGTTACTTAAAATAGAAATTTCTGTGAAATTCCTTTAAACCGTTACTCCTCCTACAATTTTGGTCTGATTTCAATCTAATTTGGCCACACAGTTAGAATACACTACGATACATAATATGTATTTATGTTTTTTTTATTTGGGTGAATGGTGTTGTCATGGTTACCGGTACTAAAAATGGAAATTTCTGTGAAATACTTTCAAAACGCTACTACTCCTAGTTTTCATTTGATTTCAATATAACTTGTCACAAAAGTAGACTACATTAAGATACATAATTCTATTTATTGTTGCATGTTGCAATGTTTCAAATCCAAGTGCTACTTTTCTTTTGTTATACAAACAGACCAGTAGAGCTACAGTCTCATCAGAGACTTCTGGTTTAAAGATTGCTTTAAGTATGAACATGAAATATAAAAATGTTAATGTATGTGCTGAAAACATGATGTTTCAAGGTTTGAAATTTTAATAATAATGTCTTATTTTCCCCTGTCTTACAGAGAAGATTCAACAGAAATTAGAAAATGGTCCCTCCTCGATGTCCAACTCTTTAACAGTGGAGGATAACTCTGCTAACAACACCCCCACACATTCCCGCCAACCCAGTGATGTCCCTACAATGGGGAGTCTCCAGCCCACCCCAGAAAACCCTGCCCCCAAAGCCACTGCTGAACTCTTCTCAGGCTTTGTAATAGGGGTTCATAGAAAAATGGTAAAAACCAAATGACAAACTGTAGCTAAAGTCTTGTTCAGATATATTTTGAATGATTTTCATAAGTTTGCTGAAGAGTTTGTTAGTTGAAAGAATTTATAGTGAGGAAATCTCATTTCTATTTGTGAATTGATCCTTCAAAGGGAGAATGCATGAAGGCTCAAAAGATTTTGATTTCTTTTCATCACCTCTACATAAACCATACTGATAAGGGATAAGCAGATTTTGCAATTCAAATGAAATAGCAAAGTGCTGCAAAATTAGAAGTTTAATTATTTTAAAAAATTTTGAGATATATATTGTACATCTGACCTTAGCCAGTCATTCAAAATATTCTGAGAAAAACAAATAACAAACAAAACAAAATAATATTAACCAAAAAACAAACAGAAAAAAGAAATGCAGAAATTGGAAATATTTTAACATTTTCAGAACTTGATGGATGTATACTTCTTGTCCTCACAAAAGGCCCGACCTGGACTGTTTGGGACCCCCATTATCCTCCCCTGTGTGGAGGATACCACCAATCAGGATCTCTATCAGTTTGTGTGGACACAGGTGTCCAGGCTGGTCAGTCCCCTCCCTCCTTCCGAGATCAAGTCAGCCAACCACGCCCAGGACTGGTAAGGAAACAATATCTGGTCACTACCCATCTTCTTTTGTGCTTCCTTGATACCGACTTCTTTCCCTTCAGGAATTAAACTTGCATAATTACTATTATATATTGTCATTGTTATAAGGATTAGAAAGTGATTTATGGGGATGCTTCCAAATAGAAATAGTGTGGGGAAAATTGACATAACATGCAATTGTTATTATTTTTTGTGTCCGAATAATGTTGTGTTTTGGTAAATACCTGTATTTGTATCTTTCCTGCAGTGATGACAGTTTGGGATATGAGTATCCCTTCACGCTCAAAGTTGTCATGAAGGATGGATTGTCCTGTGCCTGGTGTCCGTGGTATAGGTAAAATACATTCTCTTGTGAGGTGTATTCTATAATGCGATCTATTACTGGTAATGTCTAGGAATTTTGATGTCCTGACATAAATTATATTATATTGTATAGCATATGTGTGTGCCAAAATAGCAAGAATGAGCAAATTGAACAATAATAACATCTGTAGTTATTTTAGCTTCATTCCAATACAATGTAATAAGTTCATGTATATGAAATCTCACCTTGTTTTTAATGGAGCCATAACTTTTTTTTTTACTTTTTCTGTACTGAAATTTATATACGTGTATGTATCACTGAAGAGTGTTTTTCGTTGGATTTAGGTTTTGTAGGGGGTGTAAGTTGGAGTGCAATGCTGATGACTTTAACTTTGGAAGTTCATTTTTGGCTATAGACTGGGAACCCACAGCGTTACATTTACGATACCAGACAGCTTTAGAAAGGGTACACTTAAAGTTTCATTTTTTCTGATTATTTGCTGTTTATTGAAATTATTTTTAAACGAATCTCTGTTACATAACTGTGTAGAGCTTATACAATGTTAAAAGAAATTCTCTTTTTTCTTATTTGTGTTATATTGCTGATTTACATGAGGGTAAGAACCAAGGCCTTCACCTTTTTTCCCTGACTGTAAAAAGAAATGACTTTCTTACAATACATCTTTATTGTGTGGATTTGTTTTGGCCAAACAAGAACCATATTCTGATAGTGCTTTTGCTTATTTTCTGTTTACAGTTATTTAGTACTTATGTTAATTTTTCTGTTTACAGTTATTTAGTACTTATGTTATTTTTTCTGTTGATAGTTATTTAGTACTTATGTTATTTTTTCTGTTTGCAGTTATTTAGTACTTCAGTTATTTTTTTTTTACAGTTGTATAGTACTTATTTTATTGATATATAGTACATGTGTACTTTATAACAATAAAATAGGTACCATATAACTGTAAAAACTGAAGTACTAAATAATTACCAGTAGTGTGAATTAGTACATATGTACTTATGGTATTTTTCTGTTTACAGTCATTTAGTACTTGTGTTATTTTTCTGTTTACATTTATATAGTACTTATGTTATTTTTCTGTTTACAGTTATATGAAGATCATGAGAGTGTGGAGGAGAGCAGGAGGAAACAGACAGAGCCCATTAACTTAGACACCTGTCTACAGGCCTTCACCACTGAGGAGGAACTGGGCGAAGATGAGCTCTACTACTGCTCCAAGTGTAAAAAGCACTGTCTGGCCTCCAAAAAACTGGACATCTGGAGGCTGCCACCTATACTGGTATATATATTATGGTTCAAGGGCTAAGTAAATGCTGGGGACTTTTTTTACATGTAATTTAGCAAAATAATTCCAATGTCTTTTGTGTGCTATTATTTTGAGTAAAAATTGCTGCTGCTGCTATTATTGTGGGAGAAAGGCTATCTTGGTCATATTCTGGACCCTTGTGCCAAAACAAAAGGATAATGTAAAATGAAAATAAAAATGCTAACCATCTAAGCAAATTTCTTCAACAAAATTAGCCTACTTCTACAAAAGAACTTACAGGTATTAAAAGTTTTGAACAATTTTTTACTAAGGGGCTTCAATTTATCAAGAAAAGCCTTTTAAAAATTTGTGCAATATATCATAATCATTTTATATTATATAATTTTTTTTTCAGATTATAAACCTAAAAAGATTCCAGTTTTTAAATGGCCGATGGGTGAAGTCACACAAAATAGTGAACTTTCCTGTAGAGAAATTTGACCCCTCAAATTACGTAGCTCCTCGAGCACCATTGAGTGTTAGTGAACAATCAGTGAATTGTGTGTGTCAGAGTAATAATTCTGCTGAAGTAGAACATGTGCCAAATGGAGACATTCCAAACCATAATGACTTACAGATGGACATAGATAAAGGTAATTACTTTTTCTGCCAGATAAAAGCTGATTTGAGAAATTGTGGTGACACCATGTCATGAAATGTTCTTCACAACAACAACTACATTCTTCTGTATATACATGTATATATTGATAACTGAATGGAAAATATGCAAGTGTCAAAAATGGTTCAATAGCACACTCTTTGAATCATTTCAGATAAAAAAGAATCCAAAGCATCACCATGTAAGAAATGTCAGCTCATTCAAAACATTCCAACTGCTGATGATCCCATCAAATATGACCTATCCTCTATGTCAGTAAGTAATTATTCTCTATGTCAATAAGTAATTATCTTCTTTGTCAGTAAGTAGTTATCCTCTATGTCAGCAAGTAGTTATCCACTGTCAGCAAGTAGTTATCCTCTGTCAGTAAGTAGTTATCCTCTATGTCAGTAAGTAATTATCCTCTATGTCAATAAGTAATTATCCTCAATGTCAGCAAGTAGTTATCCTCTATGTCAGTAAGTAGTTATACTCTATGTCAGTAAGTTGTTATCCTCTATGTCAGTAAGTAATTATCCTCTATGTCAGTAAGTAGTTATCCTCTGTCAGTAAGTAGTTATCCTCTAAGTCAGTAAGTAATTATTCCTCTGTGTCAGTAAGTAATCATTTCTCTATGTCAGTAAGTAGTTATTCAACTATGTCAGTAAGTAATTATTCCTCTATATCAGTAAGTAGTTATCCTCTATGTCAGTAAGTAATTATCGACTATGTCAGTAAGTAGTTATCCTCTGTCACTAAGTAGTTATCCTCAATGTCAGCAAGTAGTTTTCCTCTATGTCAGTAAGTAGTTATCCTCTATGTCAGTAAGTAATTATTCCTCTATGTCAGTAAGTAGTTATCCTCTATGTCAGTAAGTGATTATTCCTCTATGTCAGTAAGTAATTATTCCTCTATGTCAGTAAGTAGTTATCCTCTATGTCAGTAAGTAGTTTTCCTCTATGTCAGTAAGTAGTTTTCCTCTATGTCAGTAAGTAGTTATCCTCTATGTCAGTAAGTAATTATTCCTCTATGTCAGTAAGTAGTTTTCCTCTATGTCAGTAAGTAGTTATCCTCTATGTCAGTAAGTAGTTTTCCTCTATGTCAGTAAGTAATTATTCCTCTATGTCAGTAAGTAGTTATCCTCTATGTCAGTAAGTAATTATTCCTCTATGTCAGTAAGTAGGTATCCTCTGTATCAGTAAGTAATTATCTTCTTTTTCTGTAAGTAAGTATCCTCTATGCCAGTAAGTAAGTATCCTCTATGTCAGTAAGTATTTATCCTCTTTGCTAGTAAGTAATTATCATCTATGTCAATAAGTAATTGTCCTCTATGCCAGTAAGTGGTGTCTAGCGTAATTTTAAAATTTCTATCATTAGTAGGTAGCAAAAGATGTGTAGGAAATAGGAGTTTTGTTTAGTAGAATATAAGCATACACCTAAGTTTGATGTCTAAAGTTGAAAATGGATAAAAGCATACAGTTCAGATAAGCCTGTAGATCAGTAGGTTTACATATCAGTAGGATTCAAAAATACATACAGTAGTTCAGTTGGATACATGTCTACAATTTAGTAGAATATAATTCATAAGTTCAGAAAGATATAAGCTGTATACCAGCATTCAGTAGGATATAAGCCTACGGTACATTTTATTGAGATATAGGACTACAGTTCAGGAGGATAATTAGTAGTTATATAAAACCTATAGCTCCATAGTGTATAATCCTACGGTTAAGTGGGATATAAGCTTACAGTTGCATTGGATATAAATAAAAGATAAGGGAAAGATATATGCCTGTAGTTTACTAAGACAAAGGTCTGTAGAGTGAAAAGATACTTGTATAAGCAAACAAAAACACTCATTACATGCGAGTGGAGCTATACTTACAGTTCAGAAGAATAGCTCACTTATTTAGTTTAAAAGGAAATTATAAGCCAATACTTTATTGAGCTACAATTTTTGCTTTGTCATGAAAACTTGACAGTTCATGTCCATTGGTTAAGATGTGTTTTCTTTTCTACACTCTGTAATATATTTGGTATCTTATTGTGCACTTTTCAAGGCATATTACATTATTACTACAATCTGAGGTATGGACTGACATAATCAATTGTAATTGTTCCTGTTCTATTACAGTGTCACACAGGAATTCTGGGAGGAGGTCATTATGTCTGCTATGCTAAAAATCCAAACCAGAAATGGTACTGCTACAATGACAGTAGCTGTAAGGTGAGTGATTGCTGACATGTTTGAAAGTTTCATCATTCTAATGATTGATTCACTCACTGGTATAACTAGAATATACTGTGTTTTGTAACTTTTGTGTGGGGTGGGGTAGGGGTGAGGGTGGGGGGTCACTCACTGAATAACTAGAATATACTGTACTTTGTAACTTTTGTCGGGGGGGGGGGGGGGGGAGGGGGGGGGGCTTCATTGGTATTAATACAGTATACTGTGTTTAACTTTTGTCCAAACGGGTATGTTTTTCATCTTTTTTTGACCTTATCCTTGGAAGATGTGAAGAATGTCAGTAATGCCATTTTCAAACTTGTACAATGTATTAAAGTAGCAAAATGGCTTTGGTATCAAAAATCCTTTCTCTGTGGCTTTGGCAAGTTATGTAATGGTGGTACACATCATCAATTACTTAGTTTTTCAGAATCATTTTGATTAAGATAGCAAAAAACAAAAAATTAGAAATTAAAAAAAAATCTCCCCAAGAAGTTATGATTTACAAATGAGCTTAATTTTACATGCGGTGATTTCAGGAGTGTACAGTAGAGCAGATGGATTGTAATTCAGCATACATCTTATTCTATGAAAGAGAAAATATAGACTTCAGTCATTTCATGCCAGATGTGGACGGTAAAGAGCCCGACCTACAAGAAATTGACGATGAGTTCGAGTCTGACCTAAAAAAGGCATGTGTAATTCAGTGATCCTAGGTCAAGGGCAATTAAGTTAAAGTGTGTGACAAGTCCTTTTTTTTTTGGTGATTTCTCTGTCTACTATGTGTAAAGGAACAGCAGGATTGAAAGTAAAAGATTTCACAGTGTCTCTTGCTACAGTGCTACAGAATATTTTCTATAAATGATTGTTGTTTTTATTTATTTATTTTTTTTATTTTTAAAAAAATTTCCCCCCAATCCTTGTACAACTCCTTGCTGATATTGTTTATTTTTTATTTTCAAACCAGTGATACATGTATTATCTACAAAACATGTAGATGGTGTTTACCATTGATTTCTTTTTTTTTTTTTTAAGTGAATTCAGTTTGTATATCTTTGTCTGTTTTGTTATTATGTAAGAATAAGAACTTAACGCATAAAATTTCAGAGGACAAAAGAAATGAAAAGTTAATTTTTTGTTTATAAACATGTTTTACACTCAAAATTTACAGCATTTTTATTCATTCACACTGCAGAATGATTTCTTGAAATCATCATTTTTCACTAAACACCCCTCCCCTTTCCCTATATTCATTTATTATTTCTTTCATCCCTTTCAAATGTATGGGAACTGACAAATTAGTCAATGACAGCTCTTCTCTCTATCTTAGTAACACTTTTTGACCTTAATTACATCCAAGAGAGAGAGAGAGAGAGAATACCATATCTCGATACACAGAGTCTATACACAGGTAAAGGCTGAACAATTTTTTTTCAGTCCATGCACATGTTTAATGCCTTAAAATAATCACACATGTTATTTTCCAGGTTCAAGTTAGTCCTTTAGCATTTAATCATTCTTAGATCATATGACTACTCAAGGTGAATATAGTTTAGATTTAGTTACGAACCAGCTTTCCTTTGTATGCAGCCAACCTTAAAGAGTTTTGTGCAGTGTGGACAGTGTTTCTAGAGAGCAAAGATCATTGGGACAGGGAATAGTGAAAATCCTTTTCATATTTATTGACGAGTTCATTACAGAAAGTACAAGCTAAAACAACTGTTAGAGGATAAAATGTATTGTAAATCATTTTTTATTCGTAAGAACTTTATTTTCATGTAATTACGTAAGACGGTCTGCTCGCGAAAATTTCATTTCGCATATATTTCCATTAGTATAGGTTATATATACAACAATACTCGGAATTAATGAAAACTTTGTCTCTCTAATAAATACTAAATATCTATCTCGGGAAAATAAGGTGTCGCTAAAATTTGGTTATCTACAGTAATAATATTACATATTGTATAAAATATCTAAGAGATGATAAGGTTGATTACATTGTTTATTTGATTAAATTGTTTGTGTATTACATTGTATTTGTTAAATGTAAGAGCTTGAAATTGGTGAGAAATTACAAAAAGAAATCTTCTGCCAGGGTTTAAACTATCAAATTGGGGGTGCATTCAAGATAACAGTGACTCTATGTAGAACTATTGAACAATATGCTTACCTAACAGACACAGGTATGTAGGTTAGGGTTGATGCTGGATACCAAATTAAATCAAAGATGGCCAGCTCAGTTTACCTCTTTGCCTCAAATGATATGCTTACTTGAACTGATGGTGGTGTTTTTTTTTTTCATTTAAGGGAATTAAATGTTTATTTACCTACCACTCAATTCTGAGGTTAGTTCAAAAGAGGTATATCTAGCAGATAGGTTATAGCTGCTACTGTCTTGAACTCAGCTCTGATAATGTCCCAAAGGTCAAAAGACCCAGTTTTGGTGCCAGAAACTTTTCTTTTTTTTAACCCCTTATAGCAAGTTCCTATGCAGTACCAACTATTGTCGCCAGTGAGGCCCAGATTCGGGAATTATTATAAATTTTACTTTTTGAGGAAGGATCTTATAAGAACAAATAAAATAAATGAAAGTTTTTCATGGAGGTGAAAAGCAAATTTGTACATGATGATATTCGAATATTCTAGTCATCTTTCATTTAAACATGACATTGTATTACTGTAGCTTCATCAGTTTGGAGAAGTCATGACTATTTTTTAGAAGAACATCAGTTTAGTCATTATTAATTCAATGTGTTTTCCATGTCAGTTAAGTGTGTTGTTAGAATGGTGGTACTTAGATTTTTTTTTTATCAGAATGTGATAATACAATAGTCGGAGTAGATCATTAAAAATTTTTGTTGAAATATCACAGATTTTTAAGATAATGTAAATTAAAATGAAAAAAAAAATGTTGATTATGGTGATTTTCTTATTGTTAATGTTGAGTAATTCTGTGGTCAGTCAATTCTACCTCATAATCCCTTTGTTGATGTGTCAATCTAGTTGAAAACAAATCTTTTCATAATCATTTATTTAATTTTTTTTAAATGATCATTATTATTTCACTAACATTGTACATTCATAGGTACTACAGATACCAAAGTTCAAATTTTTTATAAACCTGCAGGAGTGGTGATGTGTTAATTTATGAAATTTAATTTATTACGCTATTATGTATCTTGAGACTTGTTGTGAATTTTTTTTAAAAAAGGAAATGGGCATCAAAGGCAATTCCTACATTTCTTAGCTACTGAGAAAATTTATCATTTTATTTACATGTAATTTAGAAATTTTAAGTTACATAATTATACTGTACATTTAACATTGATAAGAGTGAGGAGAAGATGATATGTTATTTTCTCAAGATGACTGCTGTACATTAAGGTTTGCTTTTTAGAATTTCAGAAGTTTTTCCTTATATACAGTGTTCAATTATATTGATAACATTGTCAAACCACTGTTGGTCTCAATCTAATTAAAATTAGATGTTTCTGAATCCACTACTGCTTTTCAATCAAGTGGTAGAGGATTCAGAACATCCAATTGCCTTTGCTCTGCAAATTTTGAGACAAAGTGAAAGCAACATGTATGCTATATTGACATAAATGTAAAACAGTTAGCGAAACTAAAATGATGGATATACATTCATTAATTCATGCTTCTTCAGATGCTTTTTTTGTGACATGACAAATTAACATATGAAATCATAAAGGCTTGATTATCTGTATTTCACTCTGTGCACTTTCAGTCATTTTCTAAATCAAATCACTGTTCTCTTTGAAAACAGCAAGCCATGTTGATCCAGAGATTCAATCCATTTAGTGATAAAATCTTGTGACTTACCAAATGTTTTTGATAGTGTTGATCTTTTTGTTTTTTAAAATTTAAAGGTTACGGACTGTATATATCCATAGGAAAATCCATGAGTACAATGATTTTTGTTAAGTACTGTAATTGTTTGATGAGTTACATGTTGACTGTGATTCTATGTATAACTTGTGATTTGTCTTGTATAGATGATTGCAGTTATCTGTGATATTTAGTCGTTTTTGTTGATGCTTAATATTCCACAATTGTAGGAAGCATCATTGCCATTCCTATATTCAGTAAAACTTTATTTAAAAAAATCAAATAGCTTTTGTTGTTCTTAAAGCATATAAACTTGCTCAGAGATAAACTAATGAGTCTTTTGGTGGGCAGCTTTCGTGATGGACAAAATGTATTATTTGCCAACAATAGAAGTTCCAGTTTGTGCATTGTTTGGCTAAAAAAATGTTTATTGGATTCAGAAAGGTTGAAAATGATTCTGTAAAGATTCAGAAAGATTGACATTAGAGCCTTGCTTTTATGGAGAATAAAGCCTTTAAGGAACCAAAATCTCCTAACGGCAAAAATCTCTTCTGGAATATTCACACATTTTCCTTTGACTCAAAGACACTTTTATGCTATGTATGCATTAAAATACCTTAATAAGTCCCCTATTGATTTTGAGGTTAAAAGGTCAAGGTCAGATATCACATATATTGCATATCCAGGTCACAAGACCATAAACTGAGAACAAACTTAAATAAAAATTTCAAACCAATTAAACTTTTGAAATAATTAAGATAATGAAACAAAATTTACATGATATGTTTGAATTTAAAATAAGATGCAAAACTGGAAGTTTGTAAGCAATTTGTTATATAAAATTCAAGATATTCAAAATCAAATTTTTGACTTAAGTCATCGTCGCAAATCACAGCCAAAATGTACGATCCTCTCCCATTCTGGCCGTGGTTGAATGAGAAGAGAATATTTCGTAGCTCATTAAAATATTGACCAATGCGAGTAAAGCATAGTTGGAAAATGAACTTTGACGTGACCTTTCAATACCCAATCGCAGTATACGAGCATATCTTGTGTACTGTTGATGTCAGTTGTTGATTTCAATTGCGATGGAAACAAATATTGTCATTGGCTGAACATGACGTCACAACATAGAGGTGTAAATATTCAAGATTACGACATTTTTTGTGATCAAGCAGCCACGTGTAGGAGAGAGCTATATGTGGACTCTGAACCATGGCTTGAGACGATGGACTTAAGTCTGTTCTCAGTTTATGGTCTTGGGGCTAGATCACAGCTTTTAAAAGATCTCTGAGCTTTTGCAGTAAAACCTAAGGTGATGACTTTCTGACTTAAAAAAAGACTCCTATTGATTTCAAGGTCAAAAGGTCAGGTCAGAAATTTATATCATGCATAAAATGCTTGAAAAATTGTGTTCTTTTTGAGCTAATGAAACTTCAGATGATAACTATCTTTATCTTAAAAAAGACTATAGATTTTGAGGTTAAAAGGTTAGAGTTCAAGGTCGTAAATTTTTCAATCTGAAAGGCTTTAAAATGTACCCGGAATGCAACATTTCTTATTATCCTTCAGAATTATATAGTCAATCTGATTGGTTTAGAGCATTCACATGCAGGGAGACAATTCGTGATGTCTTTATATTGTTGTAACCTAAATTCTTATGCTTTATTTATTTTGTTTTCTTGATGCTCAACTTGTTAAACACTTGGCGAAATTTCCACTTTTCATAATGGTGCTGGTTCTGACGTTTTCCAAGCATGTCAAATATCAAAATCATGAAAAATCCCTGGAAAACTTCAGATATTTTGGACTACTAGAAAATATACATTGGATCCAGTATCCAAAGCATATCTGGTAGTTTGCATTCCTAGATGTATCTTCCATGCACGTTTGGTCCAGTTGGGGCTTATAATCACTTTGGAACGAGATCTGCTCCAACAAGAGGCCCATGGACCACATGGCTCTCCCGAGCTAGGAAAAAGAACAAATCAGTTCAGTATTGAAAAGTTTACATGAGGTGTGGGGGACTTGAATTTTAAACACCTGAGGATGCATTCATATCAATATAACAAATGGCTTATCTGTTCTTGAGAAGATTTTTTTCTATATATTCCTATCAATGTAAAACTTTGATCCCCCATTGTGGCCACACCATACCCATGGGGGGTCATGTTTTGAACAAACTTGAATCTACACTACCTGAGGATGCTTCCATATCAATATGACTTATCATGGCTTTGCCATTCTTGAGATTTTTTCCCTATATATTCCTATGTAAAACTTTTATCCCCCATTGTGGCCACAACCTACCCCTGGGGAGGTCATAATTTGAACAAACTTGAGTCTACATTACCTGAGGATGCTTCCACATCAAAATGACTAATCATGGCTTTGCTGTTCTTGAAAAGTCCCTATATTTTCCTATGTAAAACATTGATCCCCCATAGTAGCCCAATCCTATTCCAGGGGTCATCATTTGAACAAAATGGAGTCCACACCATGTAAAGAAGGTCTCCCTACAAGTTTCAACTTTTTTGGCCCAGTGGTTCTTGAGAAGAATATTTTTAAAAGATGACACCAAATTTTCATGAATTCTGAATTATCTCCCTTGAACGAGGGCATGGCCCTTCATTTGAACAAATTTTATTTCCCTTAACCCAAAGATGTTTCATGGCAAGTTTGGTTGAAATTAGCCAAGTGATTCTGGAGAAGAAGTCGAAAATGTGAAAAGTGTACAGACCGATTACAGACAAAATGTGATCAGAAAAGCTCACATGAGCTTTCAGCTCAGGTGCTTCAAAAACTTCAACTTGTTCCAAGAACAATATGGTCATTCTTTGGCTGAAGATGCAGCATCTGAAACCCGACCGGTACAATGAAACATACTTGATGCATCATTGATGCATCTCTGATCAGTATCATAGGGCATAAAAGTATGTGGAAAGCCTCTTTTACCTAGAACATCTACATGAGCTCTCCCGCCTTTGTTGAGGAGAACTGAAAAGAATGATCTTTTATTGATTATGATATGATTATGCTCTAAACTTCATCCATATAAATACTTCCGAAAGCATAAACTTTTACCGGTCAACAATTAACTGATTTTTTATTTAATCACAAAAAAAAAGCAGTAACTTGTAAATGTTTTTCTTTTCGTATTTTATTCATCTCAAACAAATATTGATGAAGTTACAGATAATTTTAACAACAATTCACTTAACAACAAGTTTATACTCCAGTATAAATTTTCTGTCGTGTCAAATCCTGGACACAAATACAATGTAGATGCTGTAGTTGGGAACAGATTTAATTAAACAGCTGATTAGATTTGAAATCTTAAACCTGTAAAATGAAATATCCATAAAATACTGTATATATATCTCTCTGTTTGCTGCACTGTATCACAACCCAAAACCATTCAGACCATATTATTTCCAATACTTGCAAGGATTAAAATCAGATCAATATTTATTTCTGGACAAAATACAGTTATTTTGCATATACAGTATCATCTTCGCTAGCCAAGGGTTTCTGATACGCTACTCTCCTCATAAACCCTTGGCATACGGTGTTAAAAAAAGTTGGGATTTTTTTCTCAAGTTGTGATTGGAGTTGATCGACATCGTTTGACCAATCAGCAATTGTTTTTTGTAAATGACGATATTTGCGTTCGGGATATATCTTGACTCTTTATTATCGGGAATGAAAAATGCAAGTAAACAACGATCCGGAAGATAACATGTCATTCTATGAATAGTTATATGGTGTCATCCAATATCTTAATCTACGTGCAAAATATGTGATTAAGAATCTATACTGAAGGTGTAGATTTGCATTTTAACATGTTTAAATAACAAATTAACATAATTCATTGCCTTCTTGTTAATTATTCTTTAAAAACATTATTTTTTAAAATAAGCTTTTTATTTCTGTCGATGACGCAATCTGTGCGTACCTGGTAAGAATCGAGATCACGTGACGAAAACAATCCCGTCTTTTGTCAGCACCGTATGCCAAGGGCTTATGAGGAGAGTAGCGTATCAGAAACCATTGGCTAGCGAAGATGATACAGTATTAATATTACAGTTCTCAGCCAATTTTCTTAAATACAGATTTTGCCGATAAATTACATGCAGGGGACATTTTTTAAATTCAGAATTTGCTATAAAATAACAAAGAAAATTCTTCCTTCATAGTTATACTGGAGTCGATCTGTAGACTTATTAAACATTTCAAAAAATTACCACATTTTCCACTTTTTGCAAAAAAAGTGTCCATGTCAAATGGCTGTCAATGTCCATGTTTACACAAAATGGCTACCGGAAACGAAAATCGAGTGCAAAACTATGAGAAATGAAAGCAGATTTTTTCCCCCCAGATTGGTCTCTGCATTACCAAATTTTTTATTGGAAAGCAGCTACCTCAAAACAGATGAGCACAGGCCTGAGAACCAAAATTTCAATTTTATGTAACCTTAAGTATATTTGCATATAAATTATACATCTATTCATGTACATACAAAAAAAGTGTCTGCATACAAGTTATTGTGCTTCTTAAATTCAACTTTGAACCAGAACCATGTTTCTTAATAAAAAAAACAAACAAACAAAATAAAAATAGAACCTGGATTAGTCTACAGACTTGTGAATGACAAGTACAAATTATCTGGGAGTAACATTATGCATGAGAGTAAGCAATGGTGGTACAAAATTTACACAGGCATGTTGAAGAAAAACATCAACTTACTGTATACATTTTTTCTCCCTACATGGTACATATTTATGAGAATTTTGTACAATTCTGAAAAGGTAAATCCATGTTAAACATGTACCCCTAAGTACATCTACAGTATTTTCAGATTGACTGGCAGTAAATGCACACAAAATAATTATAACACAGATATACATGTACAGGTAACATTTCATGTCTTCCGCACAAAATGTATTTATTCTCTTTACAATTAAAACCTGTCTATTGATAGTTGTTAGACACCTTTTGAATAATTAAGTGTTTTACTCCACCTTAACAAGTATACTGCATGCATTGTTCCCCAAATCAGAGAATCAAACAGGACCAAATCTCTACACAAAAATTGAATAGAGAAATCATACATCTCTGTTAATCACCTAAACACAGCATCCTTAACTCTGTGCATCTTTTGGCTCCTTAGAATCACTGGGCTTGTCTTTGGATTCTTCCTCTTTAGTTGTTTTACTATCTGATTTATCTGCTCCTTTAACAGTTAAGTCCTCCAGCTTCTCTGTCAATGAGCTTGTCTCTTTGTCATCGTCAGTTTTATTTGTATCACCGGCTCCTTGGCTGACTCTTTCTGATTTTTGTTCATCAGTTTCAGACACTCCATCTACGTAACAAAAAACAGTAATTTAAATGTTCCCCTTGATTGCAATACAATAAATTTCTTAAATTGAAAGAAATGAGTATGGAATAAGTGTAAATTATACATGATGTACTCAGAGAACATCCTATAGTTGTTTTCAAAATAAAACAATGCATATGAGTTTTGATTTAATACATGTACATAAAATTTCTTCATCAAAATTTGCATTTGAAATTGTCAACCTTTTTTTTTTGTTAACAAAGTTTACGATAAGGAATAATTAGACAGGTAAATTCAGAGAAATGTGGGTCTTATTGGTTTACCGATCTATTGCACATTGCAACTTTTTCTGTCCATTATACTAAAAAAAGTTTTTATATTTTTGAAGTAATGCATTATAGTGCAAAAGCTATGGCCAAGGATAAAACTTGAAGGTCAACGTCACAAAATCAAAAGGACTTGTCAAATATAATGCATATGTTAAATATGAAAGTTTTTGAAAAGTAGGTCAAACTTTCAAGGTTAAGAGGTCAACAATCATAACACATTCAGAAGTCTTGTCACAGATGATGAAATATGAAAGCCCCATCTTCTCTCACTCAAAAGTTATGAACAACGGTTTTTTGACTGACAGACAGACAGATGAGATTTAATGTCCCCATGCATTCTCAAAAGAGAGGGACAACATCGGAACCTCAAGTATCCAAGCAATGAAAGGGGCACTAGAACCACAAGTATCCAAGCAATGAAAGGGGTACTAGTACCACAAGTATTCAAGCAATGAAAGGGGTACTAGTACCACAAGTATCCAAGCATTGAAAGGGGTACTAGAACCACAAGTATTCAAGCAATGAAAGGGGTACTAGAACCACAAGTATCCAAGCACTGAAAGGGGTACTAGAACCACAAGTATTCAACCAATGAAAGGGATACTAACCCACTGAGTTAACACCTTTTACTTGAAAACTTACTTGTAAGTTTTATTTTTTCGTTCGCACTGCCAGCCTCCTCAAACTTTTCTTTGAACTTCAGTGCATCTTCATGTACAAACAGAAAAAAAGAACAGTATGTTATATGCAGCATGTGATAAAATACAACGTACATGTACACTCAATGACAGCAAAATTATGTCTTACTTTCTGAATTAGCAAACCGGATTGCTAGCAGCTCTTGTTTAGCTTCTTCATCAGCAAAATCTGAGGGGACTGGCCACACCCATGCCCTGTCACTACCAGCATTGGGCTTCAACTCCATCTGTGTTGTCACTACACATATACAATATAAAACCAGTCTTATGTTTTCTCCCAAGAAATCTTCCATGGACAATACATACTTTTTTTTTCAACTTTAAAATTAAGCTTCTCATCTCATGAATACATATAATTTATAATAGGCAAAGGTTGTAATCTTTTAATGTACATTATACTATAGATACACATGTATGTGCAGATTTTATCATTAACCAATATCCAAGATATTGGATATCAATACTACAATATCCAAGATACATCTATAATAATTTTCAGAATGTCTTCTTACCAAAATGATTGGCACAAACTTTGTGTGTTTTATCTCTCCTCATGAGTAATCGTATTAACCCTGTAACTTTGTGTTTCAGAAGTTTCACATCTCCTGTGCCTCTCTCCTTCCATTCTGGTGGTTCTGCTTCATTGTCAAACCTAAACAGCTTGGCTCTCCTACAAAAGTATTAACTCATTACATTCAAAAAATGATGTATAACATCGCAAGAAATATTTTCGAACAAAGACTTCATCAGCTTTGGGTGAAATGCCAGAGTCAAACTTAAGCTAGAAATCGATGCCAATGCAGTGATGATTTCTTACCAAGCCATGAGTTATTGTGACTTACGACCACCATTTTTTAAGAACTAAAAGCTCTGTGACACTCACTTTCTTATGCAGAACTTTTTCACTTCATTTAATGGCCACATTTTGGCTATTTTCCCAATGAAAAATCCCCTCTCCCCTCATTTCTTGAAAAAGTTCCCAGTTTGAAGCATTAAGAAAATACAGCAGAAAAAATCATAAGAGCAACCAATAACATTACATTTAAGTCTTCAAGTAGTAAAGTAGGAACAAAATTAGATTGATCTCTGAGAAAAATTTCCTTATTCCAATGCAAACAGTTCAATAAGTACAAAAAATATTAGCACACACTTTCTATCTTTTCATTGTAAAAAGCTTGTATGCCTTCTAGGCCCAAAATTGGAAAATAAAATGATCTTATCTGTACTCTTTGTGCTGTACTTGATCACGGGCCCCTTGATCAGTGCCTTACTTGTTTCAATAATCAATATTATTACTACATCAAGTATGTTTGCATGCAAAACTGAGGACCAAAATATGATGTATTAGGTTACTTTGCTAGTCTGCTTTTCATCCCATTTTACACAACAAAGTCTTATTTTTTATCCAAGGGATTTTGAGCTTGAACATTCCTTACTATTCTTTTTTTAATTATCCATCTAAAATTTGACATACATCTTGAATATCTCCTCTTCATCCTCCTCTAAAGACTTGACCTCCACTTCTGGAAGTCGGACAACTGGCTCAAAATGGATTTCAGGGGACTCTACAACTTCTTCCTACAAAAGTGATAATCAAATTTATATTTAAATCTTAAATAGTTAATATTCCTCAAAAATGTTCATAATCGCTTTGTTTGGGGTCTATACAATAATTGAAAATAACTCAGTTATTCTAAAAAGAAAATACTACGAAGAGTAAATATTCTCTCATATCAATAAAAAGCAAGAGTATGAATTGCATGATGTGCATCAGCAAAAATTCAAGGATAAGAATTGCATCAACAGCATTTCGGGTAGGGGTGTAATGATATGGCTAAGGTGTATCATGGCATATCATGATACACTAGGATTATACCATGATACACATCAGAATATTTCACTTTCATAATTTTTATATAATTTATTTGTCTCTGTTTTGAAATGGAAAATTCTCCATCACAATGTGATAGGATAAAACTTGTAATTTTTTTTCTTCAGTTCACAAATGTTTAATAAGCTCGGAACACAATATAAATAGCACAAGTAAAATTAAGAAAATCACTTTATCTTCCTAACTGGTAACCAAGAAGACATAGCATAAATTGCTTTACATGTAAATGTTACATATTGTGATAACAGGAATATGGTTTGTATTCTGCAAGACAGTATAATTTTTTTGTGTATTGTGGTGTACTGAGACATATACATGTATATCCTATATCACCCCAAATTACAGGATGCATATAATACATTACTACTTACATCTATTCATGCATCGACATATTACTGATGATTGAATATTATTGAAACATCTACACGTCATGATCAAGCTTGGATACAAGACACACCGTTAAGAATGGCTTCCCAAGTCCTAGCATTTCAGGTAATTTTTATGTCAGGGTTTGACACTAAGTCTGACCTACCCAGACTAGTAAAAGAGTAGTCTTGTGTAAAATGTATGTTAACTAAACTGACTGGCCATGTGGATAAAATATATGTTAATCCCTTTCCACTCTTTGAAATAAATATTCTAAAAACTTATTTTATTATTTGTTGAATGTAAACACTTTAATCGCTATGTAATGGAAAATTTGCCTTCATGACACAATTGCTGTTCTTAGTCATGTCTGTAATACACAAGGTTGAAAGAGGTGCTTTCATACAAGCTTTGTTTAGTGTTAATTGGTAAAAAATAGTTAACCAAATGTTTTCTTTAACTAGTTTACTAATATTTAGAATAATGCACTGAGTAATTTTCTTTAAGTTCATTGTTAAGTACCTTGTGGTATGGAAAAGAAAGGGTGACCCCACAATGGAAAGAAAATTCTATCTTTAAAACAATATTGTTCTTCAGACTTCAACAATAGAAATTGTTCTGTGTGTTGTCAACATAGCAAAATAAACAGAGGCAGATAATTCTAATCTATTATACATTTACTTCAAATAATCAAGAGTTCCGAATGTCAACAAAGTGTGTAAAATTGTAGCGAAAAAAAACAAGAGGCCCATTGGCCACATCGCTCACCTGAGCACACTGGCTAGGCAAAAGCACAAATCAGTTAAGTATTAAAAAGATTACTGGGGGGGGGGGGGGGGGGCTTGAATTTTTAACTACCTGATGATTCTTCAATGTCAATATAACAAATGGCTTTGTTGTACTTGAGAAGATTTAAAAAAAAAATTCCAATATATCCCTTTGTAAAAATTTGATCCCTCACTGTGGCTCCTCCCTATCCCAGGGGTCATCATTTGAACCAACTTGAATCTACACTACCTGAGGATGCTTTCATATCAAAATGACTAAACATGATTTTCAGTTCTTGAGAAGAAGAAATTTTCCTATATGTTCCTATGTAAAATTTTCGATCCCCCATTGTGGCCCGACCCTATCCTCGGGGGTCATCATTTTAACAAACTTGAATCTACACTACCTGAGGATGCTTCCTTATCAAAATGACTAATCATGGCTTTGCATTTCTTCAGAAGTAGATATTTTCCTATATTTTTCTATTTAAGACTTTGATCCTCCATAGTGGCCCCGCCCTACCCCCGGGGGTCATGATTTGAACAAATTTGAATCTACACTACCTGAGACTGCTTCCATATAAATATGACTCATCATGGCTTTGCTGTTCTTGAGAAGAAGATTTTTAAAGATTTTTCCTATATATTTCCATGTAAAACTTTGATCCTCCATAGTGGCCCCACCCTACCCCCGATGGTCATGATTTAAACAAACTTGAATCTACACAACCTGAGGATGCTTCCATATAAATATGACTCAACATGGCTTTGCTGGTTCTTGAGAAGAAGATTTTTCCTACATATTTCTATGTAAAAACTTTGATCCTCCATTGTGGCCCCACCCTACCTCCGGGGGTCATGATTTGAACAAACTTGAATCTACACAACCTGAGGATGCTTCCATATAAATATGACTCAACATGGCTTTGCTGGTTCTTGAGAAGAAGATTTTTCCTACATATTTCTATGTAAAAACTTTGATCCTCCATTGTGGCCCCACCCTACCTCCGGGGGTCATGATTTGAACAAACTTGAATCTACACAACCTGAGGATGCTTCCATATAAATATGACTCAACATGGCTTTGCTGGTTCTTGAGAAGAAGATTTTTAAAGATTTTTCCTATATATTTCCATGTAAAACTTTGATCCTCCATAGTGGCCCCACCCTACCCCCGATGGTCATGATTTAAACAAACTTGAATCTACACAACCTGAGGATGCTTCCATATAAATATGACTCAACATGGCTTTGCTGGTTCTTGAGAAGAAGATTTTTCCTACATATTTCTATGTAAAAACTTTGATCCTCCATTGTGGCCCCACCCTACCTCCGGGGGTCATGATTTAAACAAACTTGAATCTACACAACCTGAGGATGCTTCCATATAAATATGACTCAACATGGCTTTGCTGGTTCTTGAGAAGAAGATTTTTCCTACATATTTCTATGTAAAAACTTTGATCCTCCATTGTGGCCCCACCCTACCTCCGGGGGTCATGATTTGAACAAACTAATTTTGATCAAATTTGAATCTACACTACCTGAGGATGCTTCCATATAAATATGACTCATCATGGCTTTGTTGTTCTTGAGAAGAAGATTTTTAAATGTTTTTCCTATATATTTCTATGTAAAACTTTAATCCTCCATAGTGGCCCCGCACTACCCCAGGGGGTCATGATTTGAACAAATTTGAATCTACACTACCTGAGGATGCTTCCATATAAATATGACTCATCATGGCTTTGCTGTTCTTAAGAAGAAGATTTTTAAAAATTTTTCCTATATATTTCTATGTAAAACTTTGATCCTCCATTGTGGCCCCACCCTACCCCCGACGGTCATGCTTTGAACAAACTTGAATCTACACAACCTGAGGATGCTTCCATATAAATATGACTCATCATGGCTTTGCTGCTCTTGAGAAGAAGATTTTTCCTACATATTTCTATGTAAAAACTTTGATCCTCCATTGTGGCCCCACCCTACCCCCGGGGGTCATGATTTGAACAAACTACACTACCTGAGGATGCTTCCATATAAATATGACTCATCATGGCTTTGCTGTTCTTAAGAAGAAGATTTTTAAAAATTTTTCCTATATATTTCCATGTAAAACTTTGATCCTCCGTTGTGGCCCCACCCTACCCCCGGGGGTCATGATTTGAACAAACTTGAATCTACACAACCTGAGGATGCTTCCATATAAATATGACTCATCATGGCTTTGCTGCTCTTGAGAAGAAGATTTTTCCTACATATTTCTATGTAAAAACTTTGATCCTCCATTGTGGCCCCACCTTACCCCCGGGGGTCATGATTTGAACAAACTACACTACCTGAGGATGCTTCCATATAAATATGACTCATCATGGCTTTGCTGTTCTTGAGAAGAATATTTTTAAATGTTTTTCCTATATATTTCTATGTAAAACTTTGATCCTCCATTATGGCCCCGCCCTACCCCAGGGGGTCATGATTTGTTCAAACTTGAATCTTCACAACCTGAGGATGCTTCCATATAAATATGACTCATCATGGCTTTGCTGTTCTTGAGAAGAAGATTTTTCCTACATATTTCTATGTAAAACTTTGATCCTCCATTGTGGCCTTACCCTACCCCCGCGGGTTATGACTTGAACAAACTACACTACCTGATTCCATCTAAATATGACTCATCATGGCTTTGCTGTTCTTGAGAAGAATATTTTTAAATGTTTTTCCTATATATTTCTATGTAAAACTTTGATCCTCCATTGTGGCCCCACCCTACCCCAGGGGGTCATGATTTGTTCAAACTTGAATCTTCACAACCTGAGGATGCTTCCATATAAATATGACTCATCATGTTTTTGCTGTTCTTGAGAAGATGATTTTTAGAGATTTTTCCCTATATATTTCTATGTAAAACTTTGATCCTCCATAGTGGCCCCACCCTACCCCCGACGGTCATGATTTGAACAAATTTGAATCTACACTACCTGAGGATGCTTCCATATAAATATGACTCTTCATGGCTTTGCTGTTCTTGAGAAGAAGATTTTTGAAGGTTTTTCCTATATATTTCTATATAAAACCTTTGATCCTCCATTGTGGCCCCGCCCTATCCCCGGGGGTCATGATTTGAACAAACTTGAATCTACACTACCTGAGGATGTTTCCACATGAGTTAAAAATGTAAAAAGTTTACAGACAGACAGACGAACAGACAGACAGCTAGACAGACAGACGGACGCCGGACAAAAAGTGATCAGAAAAGCTCACTTGAGCCTTCAGCTCAGGTGAGCTAAAAAACCATTGAGAAATGAGTTTAATTTTTGTCGTTATATGGATTATTTCTTAAGTAAAAGGCATAGTACAAGCTCATAAAAAGGTTCATTATGATTAATTTGGTAGTTACTTTTAGCACAACTCCTTTTGTATTCTTCAAAATAATTTCGGAGCAGATCTGTTCTGATCTGCTACAGTGCAAATATATGGGACGTATTCTAACTGGGTGAGGGCTTGTCCCAAGACCCAGTTAGATTTTTCTAACCCCTCATATACGAAACAAGTGCCTAGCAAATCTGAGATTCCTCCGACTCTAACCCCCTGCCTTTATATTGTGCAGGGGAGAGTCAGAGCAGAGGCCATATGGAAAAGTTGGAATTCAGCGACACCAGGTAGTGTCGCGACTCTGCCTACATTTAACAACTTTATTTAGCGGACCAAACTTCTGAAACACAAGAACTTAGTAAAGGGATGATTCTTCTACAACTTAATCATCATTAATATGATGCTATAGCCATTTAAACCATCTTACACCGACAAATGAAGCATCACTTAAACAGTTCCAGTACAAAGACTATTTCTACCTACGTAGCTATTAATAGCTACCTAGGTATTTAAACCTACCCAAAGTAGCTACTTTTACCTACTTTTTGCATTACTTGCATTTTGTGGCCAAACGGCTGAACAGCGCAACATGGTGAGTACCAAATTTCTTAATACAGTCACCATACATGTGATATGTACCGGCGGTAGGCAAAATGTACAGTTTTTTGGAGCCCATTCATCGTGTACCGGCTGGACACCAAAATTCACGGAATATGAAAATTTGTACAGTATTTTGAATTTCTCACTAAATCCTGCAATTTTCCTCTCATTATCTCTCGCGAGACACTGGAAAACGCCACCTGTGTTTGACACTTGACCTTCTGATAATTGTGTAGTGTACACAAACCATCGCGTGTGAAGGTGTGAACTGCCAATTGGGATAATTATCTTGCTATAAATCCGTATCAAGATACCCCTTTAGGTAGCTTTATTTTTAAAGGGGTACTTAATTATAACTGTTAATGTTTCGTAACGTGATTGAAAAAAATTAAGCCAACTTCTAAAGTTGATATACACGACTTAATATACATGAATCTGACCCAGATCCATAGGTATAAAATATACGATGTTTATTATCATGATTACGCTGAAATAAAGGATATAGTTTTAAGTTTTTTATGTGCTGAAATTTATGTATGATTGTATTTGCTGCTGTCATTTAGCATTGCTGATGTATATATCAGTAATATGAACAAGATGTAAATTGGAGACATTGACTCTCACGTTAATACTATATAAAGCTGGCAAACAAACTATCAACTAGCTTAATTTAAAGTCGATTCATAAGAACATTGTGATTATAAAACACAATATATGATATTTTAAAGCATTCAAATCTCCATTACAACTTTTAAAATAAGACATTTGCAACAATATATATTTGTTGGTTTAGAAATAAGGTGCCTTATCAGAAGAATTTAAGCGATATTTTATACCGTTTTTTGTACTGTTTTTTGATAGGCAGTGTACAGTTTTTTTTTCAAATTCCAGTTTTTTTATGGCTCCTGTACAGTTTGGTGGTCTGAGACTTATCACATGTATGAGTCACACTGATGATGAATACAACAAAATTTTGGCAAAAAATTGATTACGTCCTAAATTACCAATTTTGCATTAATTACTATGCAAAATTGTTTATTTATGAAGTAATCATTTTTTGGTCAAAATTTTGTTGTAGTCATCATTAGTGTGACTGTAGCAAGAAATATGGTACTCACCATGTTGCGCCGTGTGGCCGTTTGGCTACAAAATGCAAGTAATGCAAAAAGTATGTAAAAATAGCTACTTTGGGTAGGTTTAAATACCTACGTATTAATATTTAGCTATTAAAAGCTACGTAGGTAGAAATAGTCTTTGGACTGGACCTGTTAAATAAGGTCGCCTCCTTTAAATTACTCAACAAGAATAATTTATTTTTTGTTTGCATTTTTTTTATGCAACCTATTTTTAGTGAATTTTCAGCTGGCGTCGCTAAATTTCAACTTTTCAATACGGCCTCCCCTCTGACTCTCCCCTGCACATGCCACAATATTAAAGAAGGGGTTAGAGTCAGAGGAATCTCGGATTAGTGTCTAGCCTGTGATGATGAATCTGTCATCTTCGATATAAAACATCAAAACGTTAAAAAAATAGAGATAATTTCAAAAACTGTGTTTCTTGCTTCTTTTTCTGTCTCCAGTAAACATTAAACGTTGCAACATGTGAAGATGACAAATGGAAAATTTTGCAAATCGAGTCAGCGAGTTGCTTTGAGGAACGTGTTCTGTAAAAGGCACTAAAGCTGGGATAAAACTATGAATGAAATATTAATGTAAAATAGTAAAATGATGATCTTCACTTCATATTTACCTTTTCATCAGCCATAACTTAAAAGATGACGGTAGATTTAATCATCAACTCCTTCTCGAAAATATTCAATGAACGTTTAAGAAATTGTTTAGTATTTACCGTATCCCGATTCCGATCTAATTGTGAAAATTAAAGGTTTTACGATATCAAACAAAATTGTTCATTTTTTTAAATTACGTATCAAGAATTAAATATTTTGTTGTTTGTAATCCGTAGATAATATTTTTCATACAACCCATTTTTAGTGATTTTGCATTGTAAATGGATCGGGTTCAAGAAGCCAATGTGCCAAAGGAAATCCGAAAGGTAGTCAGTCACCTGTAGCACAGAAATCAAAGAAGATGAATACAGGAGTTCTTGCGTTTGTTGGCAAGGTACTCCAGTACCTTGCAGACAACCCGTATATTCTTGGTATAATTTTTCTCCTGTATATTTTCATATTTGCAATGTCAGTTCTATTTTCTGGACCTAAACCTGGGAGAAATCCTTTCTCGGCGAAGCACGTAAAACCAGTGCAGGAATTGGTCTCTGATCAGAAAACCCGTGATCAGATCTTAAAGCAGAGTATGTATATGATCATTTTGATATGAAGATCTCTTAATTGCGTGGTTTTTATGTTGAATATATTTTCATAGAGGATGCCTACAGTAGTCAGCTGACTTAAGTGTAGATTCTTGTTTGAAAAACAAACAAACAAACAAACATAGATTAAAGTATAATATTATCAGAAATGATATGTAACTACATTTGTTGTCTGCAGAGGGAAAGGGTTTAAGAGAACATATTAATGTTAGATTAGAATGGAAATGAATTTTTGATGTACAGTAATTTCATCTGATAAATGAATCCTCTGATTTTGCATGCATATCCACATATGAGCAAATTATTTGGTACTTTCAGCATAAGAACAAATTTAAAGCAATATGGTCATGTATTTTTTTATATATAGAAATAGCCTATGTATGTAGATAATTAACATTCTTAAACACTGAAGCTATTGTCATGATTATTGATAAATTAAAGTATTGGTATCATGAGAGAGAACTAATGTGTCTACATATAATTATGACAGATTAAATACTTGGAATGCATTCAAGCAAATAGGCTATAAAATGCAAAACAGGTTTTCACCTGGTTACAGGGTAAACTTTTTAATTTCCTATCACTTTCAATATCAATGATTTTTTTAATTATGTCGTTTAATATACATATCATATTAAATTTATTGTGATCAAGTCTGTTGCTTATAGAGTTATGTTAAAATTTTAAAGCAAAATGAGCTGCATCTTTGATTTTGGAAATTTTTGTGACAAAATTGTAAGTTACAATTTCAATGACAGAAATAAAGAACAAATAGAAACTTCTTTTGTTCATATTTGCGACGGAAGAACTATTTATAAGCTTTGATTGAAGCAAAATTACTTTATTGTCATCCTGTACAATACTGATTTCTTATAAAATACTAGGCATTCCATTGTACAGAAACCTTTCTTCTGAAAAAAATTAATACTTTATTTTAGTCTAATTGATCATAAAGGTTTAAAATACATGCAGATTTATCATAACAGCACATTTTAACAGCAAAATAAAATTCTTATTAAAAATGCTGCTCATATTGCTTTAACTTAGTAGTACTTTGAAGTCTTTGTACAGAAATCTTCAGTTTTGCACTAAAAAATTTTATAAAACAGACTGTTTACTGGAATATTTGCAGAAATCAGGAAACAATTTTGAGTAATGTCATCTACAGGGAAATTTCTTGTCTGTCAAGTGAATTAACATGTGCATTTTCCATAAACTTAAATAATAACACTTCATTTTGTAGTAGATACAGCTGCAAATTCAAAATATTCACTTAGTTTCTGAAATCATTTTGTGATCAGTCAAAGGATTAACAAACTACAGCATTAAGTCATCTGTGCTGTATTAGTAGTATTCTTTTTTTTAAGGATTCAAAAGCCACAAAGTTCCTGAAAATCTAGACACAATTATAATCGGGAGTGGCATTGGGGGACTGGAGGTGGGGGTACTGCTTGCTCGTGCAGGGAAGAAAGTTCTGGTTCTCGAGCAACATGATCAGGCTGGAGGCTGCTGTCATACCTTCATTGATAAAGGATTTGAATTTGATACAGGTATTTAATTTGTTTTCATTATAATGCTCAACCTTAGGCATAGATAAAAAAAGTATTTCCACCATTCACCTTTGTTTCCAATTAAAACAGCAAAAAATCACCTGTACTCAAAACTTTTTCTTGCTTTTTTCTGACCCCCCCCCCCCTTTCAAATTTTTAGTCTGCAACTAGGTAATGTTTTGTCATTATTTAATAATTTTACACCAAGACCAAAAAATAAATAAATAAATAAATTTACAATCTCATTACTTTAAGATAAGGCATCTTGTTATTAAACATCCATTATGAATATTTTCTCAACATTCTTAGGTATTCATTACATTGGAAAGATGGATCCATCTTATGACAACAGAATTCTGATGGATCAGCTGACTGGTGGAAAAGTGGAGTATCCACTGATGGATGAAGCCTATGATGTGGTCAGTAGTCAAACAGAGCCTTTACATTCACTGTAGAAACTAACGAACAAATCTACAAAAGCTAACATGCCTAAGACTCGGTCCAGATACATGCACATCATATACTTACGTAAATTGGTATTTGGAGATCCACAGTTGTATTGCTTTGATTTGCTTTTGATTACTGATACTGTACTTTGTAGGTTGCAATAGGAGATCCAATGACAGAAAAAGTTAGAAAATACCCATTTGTATCAAATAAGGAAAAAGTCATTGAGAATTTAAAAACTGCATTTCCAAAGGAGAAGGAGGGAATAGATAAGTTTTTCCAGTTACTCAAGGTAATCATTCCAAGATTTCTTTGAAGGACATTTTTAAATTAAGTATTTTTCAGATTTAAGAAAATGGGAAACATTGCAGTTTATTTCAAATTTAGAGCCATTAAGTACATTTAATGTTTAATAGAATGTATCAATTTAATTTGAGTGTAAAGTCTTTTGATTTTCAGCTAAAAAGAAAGTTTGGCATAATGATTTGTATTTTCAGGAAGCAAGACATTTCTTCACTGGATGTGTAGTTCTTAAAGTACTCCCCAAATGGCTGGCACAGCTTTTGGTGTCTACTGGATTAATTAACATCATCTTCAAGGCATATGGTCAATTTGGAAAGGTTACCCTGAAAGATGTTTTAGACAGTGTCACAAATGATGAGGAATTGAAAGGGACACTTTCCTACATATTTGGAGATTATGGTAAATGCCCTCTAAGCCTTTGTAATGATCAACTTCTGATCCATGATAAACCTTGTTCTCATCACATGTGGAAAGATAGGAAAAGTGATGGGGATATACTATATATGGCCTTAATGTACATATGTATTAATGACAGGCATTGAGTATACCACAAAGTGAAACTTGAAATAAACCTTAAAAAATTGCTTGACAATGTGTGAATGTATACACACACTCTCACCATAATAATAATCAAACTTTTCAGAACATTATCACATAGGCAATGTAATTAAAATTCTTTCATGTATCAGAATTTCAGATTGACATTTAAAATATCATTGCATTATTATTCCAGGAGTGGTACCCTCTAAAACCCCATTTGGTCTGCATTCTGTCATCATGGGTCACTATTTTTCCGGTGCCCATTACATCAGAGGGGGACCGAGTGAACTCGCTTTTCAGATGATTCAGGTCATCGAGGAGAGGAATGGGAGGGTACTGGTTAATGCCCCTGTGTCCCAGATACTGATGTCTGACAAAGGAAGAGCCATTGGTAAGTCAAATAGGAGGCTAGGAATAGCTGTATAATGTTTCTTCTGAAGGCAGTTATTTATATCATTTTTTATTTTCTGTTGCTTAACAGAGCTAAAGGGAGACAACTCTGAATTTTATCGCTCACTGACAAGAACTTGTTGGTTAAAATGGGTTTTGGCTGATTAAACCAGTAGTTAATGTTCAATATTATGAAGTTTAATAAATAAATTAGTATTTTATGAAAATAATAATATACATGTAAATGATAATATTGATGTATGAAATTTTATGTATAAATTTACTTGAATTAATTATGAAAATTCTATGTGGAACATACAGTGACATACACGTGATAAGTCAAAGACAACAAAACTGAACAGGAGCCATAAAAAAACTGGAATTTGGGTGGAAAAACTGTACACTGCCTATCAAAAAACGGTACAAAAAATGGTATAAAATATCGCTTAAATTCTTCTGATAAGGCACCTTATTTCTAAACCAACAATTATATATTGTTGCAAATGTCTTATTTTAAAAGTTGTAATGGAGATTTGAATGCTTTAAAATATCATATATTGTGTTTTATAATCACAATGTTCTTATGAATCGGCTATTAATTAAGCTACAGTAGTTTAGATGATAGTTTGTTTGCCAGCTTTACATAGTATTAACGTGAGAGTCAATGTCTCCAATTTACATCTTGTTCAGTTATAATTAAGTACCCCTTTAAAAATAAAGCTACCTAAAGGGGTATCTTGATACGGATTTATAGCAAGATAATTATCCCAACTGGCAGTTCACACCTTCACACGCGATGGTTTGTGTACACTACACAATTATCAGAAGGTCAAGTGTCAAACACAGGTGACGTTTTCCAGTGTCTCGCGAGCGAGAATGAGAGGAAAATGGCGGCATTTAGCGAGAAATTCAAAATACTGTACAAATTTTCATATTCCGTGAATTTTGGTGTCCCGTCGGTACACAGTGAATGGGCTTTGCGTACCGCCGGTACATATCACATGTATGCAGTGAAGACCAATGCAAGTTAATTAAATTAAAAGAAGAAATATGACTCTTAACTTATTCCATGAAGCACAAGCAATTTTTATTTGTTCCTAAATTCATTTGCACTGCAGAGTTAAAGCAAAATAATATTTGATAATATCACACTAGATTGTTTAAAAAGATACCTTTTCATTTTCTGTTTAATATACATTGTAGGTGTAAAACTCAGGAAGGGTGACAGTGACGTGGAGATATATGCCAAACGTATTGTTTCTGATGCCGGAGTAT